GAAATGAATTTCTTATTGTTTTAGTACATTTCCTTGTCACTTTATCAAGTTGTTCGAAATGACATAGAGTTTAGTGATTGTTAATGCTTTTTTTGTAACTTACTTTACTATGAAATGATGAAGTGTCAGAGAATTGATAGCTGATTAATTAATTAACTTCTTCACAGTTTTTCTTTATATGAAAAAGAAAAAAAAGACAGTAAATGGTAAATGCGTCGAAAAATATTGTGTTGTGTTCTGCGCCAACCGTCAATTGATAATATCTCAATAGATTCGGTAGCTTATATACGAACGACATCGTCATATTTACTGGGTATTTCTTTTCTCTTTCTTCTGTTGGTTTCTTACAAGCATGAGTCAATACTTTGAATGCATGTATGTTATTTCTCCTATCTTTCTTCTACTGGGTGTGGGTGTGGGTATTTATATCTCTGACACCCACACCCACACCCACCCCACACCCACCCTCAATAAGATCAACCGAAACTCACAGCCACCCCCGTGCCCTCAAGATGGTTTGTTTGTATCAACTGATTTGAATTATTTTATCATATAGTAATCTTTTCTAGATGTCCAGATCGTTTCTAATCTTAAATATTTACTGAATAATGTCGGTAACTTATGAGAATCATCTTTTTAAAAAGGTACCAGTTTTATATGGACTATATTAATAAAATGAAATTTTTACGAGTGTTAAATGAAAGAAAAAATAGTTGATTCTATAATAATTTATTTTTCTTATTAAGTAATGAATAAAAGCAAATAACATGAAGAAAGAAAAGAATAGAATAAGAACAAGCAAATGTTTATTATAAGTTAGCAAATGAATTCAGTTAGAAATGTGAAAGAAGAAAGATAGTAATGAAGCAAAAAATAATGTCAAAATGGATTCGACGAATGCAACGATAATCATATTAAGAACTTGAAAGTGTATAAACATCTTCAGAGGTCAGTTCTTTGTTATAGACTCTCAATTCATCTACACCTCCATTATATGAATCCAAATCCAATACACCATTTGGTAAACAATTAGAAGAAATAGATGCTGTTAATGTACTTGCAATTGTCAAATAGTTTGATACTCCACTTGCAGAATATGCAGTTACATTTGATGCCGATGAATATAATGTTCCATTGATATATAGTTTGAGACCGTTGGTTATACTAAATGTTTGAACCACATGTGTCCATGTGTCTACTGTAAGAATTGGACCAAGAACATATCTCATATTGGAACCATCCCAAACTTGTACAGCTAGGTATTCAGAAGATGTAAACCCAATGAATGGCATACACCAACCATTCGTTCCTAGAACATGGATATAAAAGATAATTGTGAATACTATTTTTCTCGCTGGAATATTTCTAACAAACTTACCACTTGGGTCCATGGAGACATGTACAATAATACCATATAAAACCGTCGGTTTGATATATAATGCAAAGGAGAACGATGCATTCGTTGTACCAAGTGCAGTAAGACCAGCAACTTGAAAATATGAAGTTGCGGCATTGCCTGTAAATGACAATGCTTGATTTCGTACACTACTGATGGTTGTTTGTCCGACAGCCGTTCCGGAAAGCATATTTGGACCATTATCAACAAGTGAACCAGAATCAAACGAAAAATAAGTTACTAAAGTTGCATCATTTATAATTTCAGATGCACTTTTAGCACGATTACTTATGGAAAAATGATCAACATATGCATTTAAATAACTTGTCAGTGGATCTAAATGTTCGTTCCATCCGATAAACGCTTGTGCACCTATACCCATATAGGGGCCACCTTCTAACGCATCCGTTAAACCAGGAATAGCACCAGTTGGCTCAGGTATTCCATTTAAATAGATTTGTCGTAAACGTGTCTTACTATCATATGTAAACGCTAGGTGAACCCATTGTCCAAGAAATGTCGACATATCCGTTGTTCCACCTTTATCATCATAGCCGAAGGCTTGATAAAGAGTTTGGTGACGTATTGAATAGAATAGACAATTCTGTGGAGTAGGTGATGCACATTGATTTATGATATTGACTTCCGAAGGTGTGGATGTCGAATAAAGTGGTGATTGTAGATTAATCCATAATTCAACTGTCGAACTGCGATTATAAAATGTAAATGTTGATGGCAATCTTACAAATTGACTAGATGAAGAGTTAAGTTTGAGAGCATACCCAACATAACCAGGAACATAGCTAGGGTTACCAACTGGTGTACCATTGTAATTACCTGTGTAATCTATTGTATTAGAATCAAATAAATATAACGCTGAAAGTGAGCTTGCTGTTGATGTTGTCGTGTTAACGCATGAAGTATCACAAGGTATGACTGGTTTTGTTGTTATTTCTGTTAAAAATATAACCGAATAATGAACAGAAAAGATTGAACACCGAGAGAACTTACTAAGGTGTTCAAGCCGTTTAGGTATCACCTTTTGACCATAAGTAAATCTCAATGAAGTATGAAAAACCTAAAGAGGATTCATCCCTTGGCGCCATTCTTTCGGACTTTCAACCGTTCTCCAAAACTTGCCATCTGCCACAAACTGCTTCGGAAAAATTCGAATCGCATATCTTCGACCTCAAAGTTTGGCCATAGATAGATCTCATTGTCGCTAAAATTTTCTGCAGGTTTCAGCCTGAACTGATGTCTACTTCTTGAGATTATTGAATTTGTAAAATCTTGCACTTTATCAATGAATCGAAGAAAGGTGATTTGCCTTGGAAATTCATTCCGTCGTGAAGAAACAAGCAGTTCAGGCTGTGACTTGTAAGAGATTTTAATGACAATGAGATCTATATATGGGCAAAGTTTGAGATCGAAGATGTGCCATTCGAATTTTTCTGAAGCAGCTTGTGGCACATGACCAATTTTGGGAAACAGTCATAACTCCGAAAGAAAGGCATGATAGGATGAATCCTCTTCAGGTTTTTCATACCTCATCGAGGTCTACTTATGATCAAAAGATAGGACCCGAACGGGTGCGAGTATGAATGGGTGTGCCTAGTTATATTGTTTCACATTCACACCCACACCCTCGAGAGTAAGAGTATGATAAGAATAGGTCGGTGGCTAAACGTATGGGTAATGAAAGTAGAAACAAGACCCACACGCACCCATGGCTTACTAACGAAGGGCTTTTCCGCTCCCATTCATCTTTGAAGATCGAACGCTTGAAACCAGCTCAGATACTTGAGAATAAGCTGTCACTCGCGTACTTAACGTTATTCTTAGTCTTTACGAAATGTTTTATCATTGAAACAAAACTGTGATCATATCGAAAAAGTGTACAAAATAGGTTTGCAGTATTTTACTAACCATATACTATTGTCGTTGTTGTTGTTCTTCTTGCTGCTGTTGCTCTTGTTGTTGTTCTTATTTCTGTTGAGGTTTTTGTGATGATGTCTGAAATATTTTGAACGAATAAAACAAAAGTAATGATTAAAAAATTGGTTATTGGGAAGAAGATCATTTCTCTCACTGCTAACTCTGAGAAATAGTTCTTTTCATAGAAGGTGATCGTTATTTTCAACAAATAATCTATCAAACTCATTCATTCGATTTATTTATTATCTGTTACAACTACCTGTTGTTGTTACCTTGTTTGTCATCATCTTTGTTGCATTTGTATCCGATTTCTTTGTCAAAACAATACTTACAGGTATACCAACAAGTAAAAGAATCAAAACAGTAACAATGATAATGAATTTAACACGTGTAAACTTTTTTTTTACCATGACTTCAGCTCTAAAAACAAAATCGATTTTCTTTGTTGTATTTTCAATAGAAAAAAAGAAGCATACTCTGTTGTTGTTGGCAACGAATTTGATGTTTCATCTGTATTTGTATTTGTCTCCATAGATTCAGATTGATCCATTAAAAATTGACACAACAGTTTTATTTCTCTTAAAGATTGTTTTACTCTATAAAATGAACTAATATCGTTTCTTGTAAAATATATGAAAAAAGAAAAAAAAAATAATATATGATTTTTACTTCTATTAACTAATGTTCTCCATCTGTTATTTTAATTTCTTCATTTTTATTCTTTCCAAGATATATGTTGTCGAGAAAAACAATCTTTTATGATAATATATCATGCCACCTATATTATTTATCCTAAAAATCAGAGAAAAAAACCTTATGGTTGTGTTTTTACTAATGAATATCAAATATTGGTGCGACAGAAAACTGTTTTTCTTGTTGTGTTAAACGACGTCATTTGAAAAAAGAATTTTTTTTCTCTCACTTTTTATTAAAGATTAGGGAGAAAATCTGACAAAGAATGATCTTCAACTACCAAATCGTCTATGGATTCAGAGTCTCTGCATAAGATTGATTCCAGTGTATTGTCTATATCTCTTTGCTGATAAACTATGTTTTTTAATAAAGTTCATTTTTTTTCAGGTCTATATAACTAAACTTTCAGATAACATTATAATCAGTGGGTGTTGTCATAAAATCCGGAAAACATAAAATCGGAAAGAAAATTCTGAAAAAGAAAAATCTTGTGTATTGGTGGATCAGAGGAGAGTAAGGGAGCTAAAAGCTTGTTAGCATATATAGAAAAGCAAAAAGGACAAATTTTGTTACTCGTGAGACCCTCATAAGATAGAACATATTGTTGACTTGCTGTCATAGATTACCATCTAGATTGATGATCTTGGGTGGGTGTGCGTGTGAATTCCAATTAAAGATCACACCCATACCCACACCTACTGACACTCATCCACACCCACACACAGTCTTTGTCCCGAGAAGAATGTAAAGAAGAGATTGTATTTTAAAGAATGTTTTTAATGTGAAAATTCGTAAATAAACTCATAGGAAAAAGTATAATAAACACGTAAAATTTATTAAAATGATAAAAAAATAAAATGGTAGTTTTTTTAATTTTTTTGTTTGTCGTTCTATTGAAGCATCATGCGTGAAACAAACGCTAAGGTGAGTAAAAATACTGTGCTTGTGAGTATAGGAGCATTACTCTTCTGTTGTACTTCGAATAGAACTTCATATGTCGACATTAAATTGTAAGCTGTATCTTGTGCACTAACTTGGACAGGAATTTTACTAGTGGTTTCCATTTTCTCAGGTACTTTCCATTCAAAGTGACCTGTCGCTTCACTCAGAGTTGCTCCGTTTGGACCGTGAAGAAGTTTGTAGATAATGTTTGAGCTAAATTCACTTGTGGCTTGAAAAGAGATGTCTACTTGCTCACCAACTCGCACAGATCGAGTGAGAGAAAGAGCAGAATTGAATTTAGGAGGATTGCGCATTGCTTCACGTTGCTCAACTTGTTGTTCTGCTGCTTCACGTGAAACACGGCCAAAATCCACATCACCAGTAACAGAAATATCATAGTAACAGGTACGTTGAATGGGAGACCACAGTAATGAGTCAGTGGCATTGAGAGGAATTCCGCAAGCTTCACGAGCGCTTAATTCAAGAGGGCCAGTAATATCAACATGGAAAACTGGTCGATAATTTTGGTTTTGAGATGAATAGAATGTGGCGTTGTCGCCTGATTCATAGTAGAAAAGAGATCGAACAGGATTGATAGCCCAGGTCATACCATATAGCTTGCAAAAAAAATAGAAAAAATTAAAGTCCTTTCTAAAATGAATATCGAAAACTACTTACTTCATGTATTTCTTGTGGCGAGAGTGCGTCAACAGTACCAACGAGTATGCCAGAGCTGTCGCGTAAGTCGTTTAAAGGATTGCCATCATAAGAACCAATTAAACCTAATGTCCAATTTCCCTTCAATTCTCCACTTATTGCTGCGGCTATATTTAACACTAATGTCGATGATGTAGTTACAAAAATAGGTGATATTTGAATACTGATTCCTATTGGGGTAGATAATGTAATTTGATTGTTAGTACGATTTTTTGAGATAGAAAAATCTTCGAATTGGAAAGTGATTATATCTAACTGTGTAGGTGTATCTAAATCAGATTCAAATCTTAGTTCTTCATCATTCAGATGCACGAGAAGTTGATTTCTTCGAGATACTGTGATACTAATTTTCAGTGAGCCAATTTTAGCAGCAAATGCTTTGATGGCTGTCGCACTGTTTACACCAGATCCTAAAGGTGTAGTACGAATTTGCGATTCGAATTGAAAAGAAATGTTGGTGTTAAATGAAACTGATTGCTGCGAAGGAATTGCCTATGTAGAAATATAGAATAGAAGAAATTTGCAAACATTAACTATCTATATAAGCAGTTTTTACATACCAGATACGTATATTCTCCATAGCCATTAAATGTATATGCCGTTCCGTCGAGTGTTAAGAAATGAGGATCACCCCAAGTACCACCGAATTGACCCATCGTGTCACTACCTGGTCGAGATGGTCGCTGTTGAAGATATTTATCGCATCTTTCTGGGTTGGATTGGAGTTTACAACAGCCAACAAACGTTATTACGTCATGAAACTGATGGTTCCAAAACGCGTTCCCACTATGATAACGGTCATCACTTCCAGCGCCTGTTCCACGCGTAATAATTTGACCCGCTCCATTATAACAACATTGGGCGCCAGCACCATGTTCATTAGATCGGACTGATCGAAAACATGCCGCTGCATTGTCTTCGTTAAACTGTGGTCGTCCTTGATGAAATCAACAGTTTCCAATAAGGAGAATGGATGACGGCATAAGTCCTCCATCTTTACACATAGGATCAGGTACGTATTGAGCTTGTGCTACTTGAGCTTGCCGGAGAGTGTTCGGACAAGGTGGAAGATTTTGATTCCATGTCGAAGGATTTGGTTCAGTAGCACTCCAATTATCACATGTGTTTTCTGGTGCTAGTATTGTCTTGATCACAGTTTTCACTCGTCTATAAATTTTAGAATCTCGAGATACAAACATTCCTATACGGAAAGCGCCAACAGCCACACCTACTACAGGAAAAATGCGAGGATGTTTCCGCGCAATTTGTGCCAAATCAATTTGTATTGTCTGTCGACCAACTTGTGGTAGAATGTTTGAGGCAAGGACAATCACCGTATCGATTTTAATATCAGCATCCGAGTTCGACGTTCGTTGTCTTCGACGTGTATTCTCTTCGTCAGGTTTCAATATTTCGTATTCAATATCGATAAAAGTATCAGAAGTAATTCTGACTAATGATGCTTCAGAAAATATCCATTCAAGTTCAATTGTATCATTCCAGCTAACAGACTGCGTCGCAGTGCCATTCTGACGTAATATAATCTCTTCGCTAATCAGGACATCGTCTGTCATCGGCATGTACGTAAATGGCCCCGAAGAGACGAAAGTGTTGCCACCATCAAAAGATACAGTTAATTCAACTTTACCATGATATGCTGCAAGCGGTGAAACACAAGTTGCTCGAAATTCACTTAAGATCAAACCGTTGACAGTTCCAAATTCACCAAAACGGCACATAATCTCTGTTGTATTAGTATCAAAACATGGTCCCTGAAAATTAATAGCTGTACCACCGATCTGAGGACCACGTACGGGTAAATGACTAAGACTTTCTTGTTCATCACATCCACCTGCCTCAATATCCGTCGTATCTACTCGAAAAGCAAAGAGTCCAGGAACATTGACATTACTTTCGTTCACAAGTAGTGTAATATTTCTTGTACGAGAATATTTAAGCATTTTGGCTACAATACCATCACCGGCATTAAAACCTGCTTGAGCATAAGGTCCACCGGAAGATTGACTGGCCCATTGTAGATCGTTGTAGAGAAAGAATGCAAAGCTACGTGATTCGTCAGTGGCTAATACCATTTGAAAAGTATTGAGACGATCCACATAAGTACAGCAGTATCCGACTCGATACCATGTACCTGTAATGACCATCAATGGTTCAAATATCGACTCTCGTGGAAAATATTGTCGAACGAATAGAGCAGCCTTATTGAGCACTTCTGTTGTCACATTATTTGCATTCATAGCGTTTCTGATATGAATTTGATGATAGACACCATTTTCAGACGAGTTGCTCGTTGTACCTCGTGTATCAATATCAGACCAGAATGGAGTAATTAAACGTTGATTATTGCCTAGAGGAAATTCGATTGGATTATAAGTAGATATTCCACCCAGGAACGAGAAAAGACCGTTATTTGCTTGATAGATTTGACGATGATTATTATCAAAATACGGAAATATAAAAGGTAGTGGGATAGGACCAAGACTCCCGTCATCATTAAGTAACATTCTTGTATCACCCACTTCCGAACCAAAAGGAAAGAAGTCATCGAGCGATTGAACGGCTTTACCGACGTGTCGCCCGAGTATAATGTTGAGAAGCACCAAAACAAAAACAAATGTTATTCGAAACATCTTTTCGTTTTTTCTACATGAATACTTTGTATTACCGTCTTGTTTTTATAGGCTGCAACTTCCAACAACTATGATAATGTTATCTTGGTCAAATATTCATTATTCATCCACGTCTTTCTCACATAGTTACTCATCGACAAGATATTATCATAGGTAGTGATAAAGGTGTCTGGCGTATTTTCACGGAAAAAACCCATACAGCTACTTTATTTGCGCGTCGTTTCATGCTTCGGCGAAAAAAAACTAAGAGCGAGGATGTAGGTAAGAGACGAATATAACACCCACAAGAATAGTGAAGAAGCCATCTTGAGGGTGTGGGTGAGTCTGAATATAGACGAAGAACACAAATCCACACTCACATCCTCGAGTATAACGATAGATTTTAGTTTTTAACGTTTTTTTTCAAAATAATCAACTGCTTCTTTTATTGCAGGGTGTGGATGTGGTGGTTTTTCTCCTAGTAGAATATGTCCGATCGAGCTAAAACTCTTGTTTGACAGGCACTAGCTTCTATTTCTAATGTGCAATTTTCTGATTTAGAAAATATTGATCTACCGAGTTTTAGTAGCAATTGATTGGTTTATATTTCATATTAAAGTATTGTACATAGTAGACTCATGAGACATCAGGTAAAATCTCGGATCGTCACTTGGAAGAGTTCCTTTGTCAGTAGTTACTTGTTCGATTCTCTAATATTAGAGACCTTTGATATATTTTGTATTTAAAGGAAAAAAAGATGTAAAAACATTTATTATGTTGACAACACAATTCACCTTATTAATAATGTTTTTTAAGTGAAAGAAGAAACAACTTCGCATCAAATTGACTCATTTCTTTTCTACCTTTCTCTGTTGAATCAACTATTACTTCTTTCATTTTAAAAAATTGCAAGTCTACTATGTTATTACATCGTTTGTTGATAAGAATTAGTCATATCTGATTATGAGTTGGTTACATGAAAATTTTTCCAACTTCATTGATGAATTTATACTGGTTGCAATAAAGAAGCAAAACAAAAATTTCTTTGCGCAGCATACTTATAGTTGTACCTTATTATAGTATATACATAAAAAAAATTGAGTTAATATTTCTTCGATTTCCTTTCTACATTCTACATATCAGATCCACTCACACTCTTAAAAACTGAGTTTCTTCATCAGTAAATAAATGATTATATTGATGACGTTTTATTTCATCAACAATGACGAAAAAGTAATCGTGATATTTATTTAGAACAATCCTTAATTTATTTAATGTATACAATAATATGTAACCTGAAAATCTTGATCTTTTCTAAACTCCAGACCAGATAAAAATCTGAATGTCAAATTAAAAAAACTTCTTTTCCATTATGGATTGGTAAAAGTAACAATACAATTTATTCTCTTTATATTCAGGTTTTCTACATTTTGCTAACGTACTGATATACCGTTAAACCATCTAAAGGATAGGCGAATGGTGATAATGCATGAGAAGAACGGACAGTGAACACAAATTAGAATATGTATTGAGTATATATTTTAAAGTCATACATCGATATTCTTATTCTTGGATTAAATACAACGTGTACAGATGATAAAAGATAAGTTTTAAACATGTATAGTGTTTGTCTTTATTGTATTAAGATTTTGAATGTATTTGATGTATTTGAAAATATTGTTTTGCTTTAAAATACATACATGTAAAAAATTTAAGGTTAATAATAATTGATGAATACTTTCATACTGAAATTAAAAAACTTCAAATTATTTATACATATTCATTACTGTCTATTTTAAACTTGATGTTCATCATCAAGTCGATGAGATGCAGTATGATACTGTGTTGTTGTTTGTAAAACAATTATTCCTGTAGGTCTAATACGATTTTCAGTAATATGATTTTTATTATAAAGTATATCGATATATGAGATACTCAATAGCTATTATAGTGTTAATCAGAGGAAGATCGAGCATATGTGAACAAAAGTGCATCGATTTTTATTAAAAGACAATTCAGTGAATAATTAATTAATTATTTGTTTGAGGGGATAAACAAGCGAATGAATTAAAAACTTTTATTCTTGTGCTTTAGCATTTGTTTCACTATATGTCAAATCAAAAATAATAGATCAGTTAATATTTATGATAAACATAAACTAACTCCTTATATTTTATCTATGTAGTTTGTGGAGATGAGAGTTAAATACAATGTCCACACCTTTAAAAGTCAGAATAATAATTTTTTTATGTACTCTTTAGTAAGTATGATTAATAATTCAGGATCTCAGACATAGAAGTTTCTATTGTTAAATTTCAGGCACATTAGATTCATACCTGTATTCCATATCTAATCATCAGTAGATAAAGAATATTTATATTTTACAATTTTTTTATTTGTGTATATTAATTAGTATCTAAAAAAACGAGAGTATTTCTTTAATTATTCAATTATAAAACAAAACTAAAATTAGATTTTTTTTATTCGTCATTTTCAATATTAAAATCAAATGTTTGATACTTTAAAATTCAAATATACATTCACTGTTGATAGAGTCATATTCCCTAATAACAACACTGAAAAAGTCTCAAGTCTTAAAAAACTTGGTTCTCCGTTGTTTTACACTCGATTGAAAATATTTTTACATATGCATAATCTATGGAGTCTCCTCTTTCAAATGGTGTAACATTGACCCTTCTCTTACACATAACGACGGAGAAATCAGCGATCTACGAAAAGGGACATCGTCTGTTGCTATTATGGTTCATTTCCCTAATAACAAGAGTAAGCTAATTTTTTGACCCTAACGTGTTATTCGAATGGTTAATAGATAATAATATATTTTGAATGATTTATGTACAAGTCAAAGAAAACTAATAAAAGTGATTTTTGTAGAAGAAGAAAAAGTCACTTAGTGCTTCCAATTGTTTTGATATTTTTTTGTACAATAATTTGTACCAAATAACTAATTGTAATTAGTACTTCAAGGTCCACTAACAATATAGTATTGACAATTAAATCATGGCAAAAAATGATAACCGTTCTATTATCTAATAGAAATTGGATTGACTTTGGTATTCCATTTGTTCGCATTTTAAATGGTTCTTCAACAGAAAACCATTTAGCCACGCGATAATATACTCGAAATAATCCTAAAATATTGTGTGCAGTTGTAATTGAAGTAACATTACTATAGCATGATGCAACAATGTTATTAACAACTAATGTTCCTTCATTTGTTGTTAAACTATATAATCCAGTTTTATATAGACGGATCACATTTTTAACTTGGACAAGCTCAAGTTGATGGTTGAGATCATTTTGTACATAAACAAAATGTTCAGTTGATTTTACATGATTTGACATCAAATATTGTGTCTTTGAACCATCACTAACTGCCACATAATGATCACAAGTAACAGATAACTTATATCTAGGATCACTTGTTTCGATAACACAAAATAAATCTGAAGAAAAAAGAGATTATGATTTATTCAGAGTTTCAGTTGAAATGAAAGAAAGAGGGGAATTTACCCGTTCCATCTGGATCATGATGAAGCATCATTATAACTTCATCTTCCACTATTTTATCACGATTATTCATTGAATAAACTTTCATACCTGAACGAAGTTCACTAATTGTTGTTATATCACCATTAACCAGACGAACTTGATCACCACCAAAAAAGCAACCTAAAACAATAAAGCATATATAAGTTATTTCAGTTCACTTTCATATTAAATTGGTGAAGTGCACTCTGTTAATAATGTTCGTCAACTATTCTCAAAGACATAGTCAGTATTATCTAGAGAGCAGCCCACATTTTTCTTCTTTATCTAAATTAGTGCGTATCCGTAGTAGTAGTAGAAATACAACCGATCTAGAGATGATAAAAAAATATAATAATCTCGAAAAAGAGATTATTGTTGCAGTAAATAATAACACTTGAATGACTCTTCGAAGTAAAAAGATTAGAAGCTCCTTGCAAAATCTGTATTTACAAAACGCTTTTCTTATCACTTGCACAGAAAATATTTTCGTGTCAATTATTTTTGTCAAAAGAAATGAACAATACTAATCTACAACGTGGTCTGATTGTTTTTTTTTCATATATAACGGAAGTCATTAGTTTTCATAATATCAAAGGGATATACAGTTTTATTCGAATATCTGTGATTGCTATTTTCAGCTTATGTTTAGTTCAAAAAGTTTTTATTTTATCGGACTGAAGAGAGAGGTAATTGATTCACTAGGCTATTTATTCTTTGTTCTAGTTGGAAAATCAGTAGAATGATAAGAACTTAAAAGTGATGGGTGGAAGAGCGAGTGTAGGTGTGGATAAGATTATGCATTAGTATTCTCACCCACAGTCACATATACACCCACACACACACACCCTTCACATTTTTAATCCCGTTAGGGATTGCGCTAACAGCTTTTTACTGATAGTTAAAATTAGAAATAAAAAGCCAAATACTTTATTAGATTTAGCATAAAAATATTTTAGTTCACAGTGACACTGACACTGTACATCCCTATCTAGATTATTTGCGACTTTGATTGCTTTTTAGTGATTATAATCGATGATAAACAATAGTCGAAAATATACTTACACTATTCAGTCTGACAATAATGTGGCAAACTCAATTCATTGGATATAGGAATTGATATATGTTTTCATTTATCATTGAAAATAACTAACTATATAATGCTATACTTTTATTCGTTCTCCTCTTCATGTACAACTACGTGCATACTATAGTTGTTTTGGCACAGTATCTGAGATATTGCCTATTTTTCTTACTCGGTGTTGATGAATCTGTTGACGAATCTGTTGATGAATGTTCCGTTGATGAATGTGTTGTCGATTCCATCGCTGAATCAGTTGTCGATTCAGACGTTGAATCTACTGTGGATTGTATCGTTGAATGTGTTGTCGATTCAATCGTTGAATGTGCTGTTGAGTCAGGCGTTGAATCGGTTGTCGATTCCATTGTTGAATCAGTTGTCGATTCAGGCGTTGAATCTGCTGTGGATTCTATCGTTGAATGTATTGTTGATTCAGACGTTGAATATGTTGTCGATTCAATCGTTGAATGTACTGTTGATTCAGGCGTTGAATCTGTTGTCGATTCAAGTGTTGAAACAGCTGTCGGTTCAATCGTTGAATGTGCTGTGGATTCCATCGTTGAATCTTTTGTCGATTCCATCGTTGAATCTGTTGTCGATGTAGCTATTGGCGTTGCTATTGATGTTGATGTTGTCGATTGTGAACAATGAAAGAAAACTTTATCTGGATCGAATCCAGAGTTTGACTGTAAGTTAAAAATAAATTTAATGTAATAATAATTAGTTTCTCTTGGTAATGATTCTATAAGGTGTCCAAATTTATGAGAGCTCGATGTAAAGATTAATGGCCGACCATTAAAGTCAATCACTATATTGTCATATCTATCATAATAAGTTAATGTTATATAGTCGATTGGAGTTTCTCGTAGTAAATATCCTATGAATAGTTTACCATCGAATAAATTATCGAAATTCGGATTGAAGGTTATATAATAATTGGAATCAATCCATCCACGATCTAACCTGTATTCTTCTAATGATTGTGAACTCATAGTGTCACCTTGAAAATCATTGTCAAGTTCACTCGATAATTGTTCTGAAGAAAACAAAATATCATTTAATATTTAAATCTTTATAAAAATTAAAAGCGTAAACAAAATTGTAATTGTAATATTTGCAAACAAATGCAAAGCTTTCTTCTCTAGATACTTTAATAATGTTTTATAATCATGATACTTAAAAACTGAGTCGTTTTGTTAACATTTTATGTTAAGAAACGAAATTGAATTTTCGTATAATTAAGATTAACAAATATTTTTTAGACATTTTATTGATGAAAATAATCATAACTTCATTAAATTATTTTTCATCATATATCAATACCTAATGAATATAACATCGGATCAATAATAACAGAATCTACACACTTTCAAATTTTCTCGCTAACGATAAGACGTATATTCTCTTATTCTTACGTTCTTCTTTCCTTTACTTTTCTTACTCATTCGATCGCTTCGATCAATTAAGTAAGTCTTAATTAGCCCATGAGCTTAATTAAACTACCCTTGGAAGGGTTTCAAACAATATCTGATCAATCCGAGATAGAATATTGGCAAGATCAGATGAAGAATGATGGTCAATTCATCCAATTTATGACGGAAATATTCAAGAAAAAGAAGTTGGAAACACTACGTGAACAGAAAAACATTAATATGAATCATCAACCACCTTTATTGACTAGTTCACAACCTCCACCTGTCCAAGAATCAATACGACATCTGCCGAATCATATGGACCAGCCTGTAGTGCCATCCAACCATCAACAACAATATAGTCAAAGTTACGGACCATTGATGGACACAATAAACGACAAGTATAATGCAAATCCTGACTATCAAGACATAACAACATCGCGACGAACTTGGGAAGAAGTCAGTCCAGAATATCAAGTAATACAACGGACAAAAAAGCATCGACCTCATGAAACATCTCCTAGGACCGTTGCAACCAATGTAGCACCACTTACATTATCAACAACAGCAGCAAAGGAAGATCAACATCATCATCTACAAGTGCTTCCAAGCCACGTCAAACGTGCAATTACAAGTAATCTTCCATGCTTCTTTATTAAATTTAGAGGTGTTGACGAATCGGACCAAGGTATATCTATATCGGCAATGAAGGTGGCTGAATTAATACGTCGTACGATCTTCCAAGAAACAACTCAAACTATTCGTGATCTCTCTCTTCTGATCCCAGTGGGGAAGAACCGTTTCAAAGTTGGAGTAACAACAAAGAAAAGCTTTTTATTATTATGGAAATGTAAATGGCCCGATCGAATGGATAATTTTGAAGTCGAAGTTGAACGGCCACGTGCTTTACCAGATTGCTGTGCCTTAGTAGTACGAAATGTGCCAACAGATTTATCAAACGAATTTGTATACAATGAAATTACAAAGTCGATTACATCAGCAGTGTCCTTAACCAAAATGAATTATCATCGTCAACGTCCAACAAACGACTTTAGATTCTGTGTTCCGGACGAAATCGAATATAATGAAATGATTGATATTGGACGTATTGCAATTGGCCAAATGCTACTTCCAGTCACTACCTTCCAATCAAGTTTGAAGATGACCTTTTGCACCAACTGCTGGGAACTTGGCCATATTCGACCACAATGCAAAGTAGGACCTCGATGTCGTTTATGTTTAGATCCTTGGGATAGCCAGCACACATGCAACAAACCAAATATGTGTGCTCAATGCCATGGTCCACACTCATCACTGAGTATGGAATGTTCGGCAGTAAGAAGTTATCGACGTAATTTAAAAGAAGAGGTGAGCAAAGCGGTAGAAGAAGGTCGAATAAAGCAAGTCGACAATAATAAGGTGATGGCCCGTCCAGGTGATACAGATGCGGATTTCCCGTCCATCCAACAATCAAGTCAAGTTAAAAAGGCATGGAATATCACTCAAAGAATAACAACAACAACAGAAGAAAATGAATCAAATAAACAAGATCAGTTAAGTAAATTGAACATACAAATAGGAAGCATTTTAGAGGTGACTCAACGATTGGAAAACAAATTCGACAATATAGTTACTCGCATAGAATCATTAGAGAAGATATCTACAATCAACAAACAAGGAATCATGGTCTTAGCTAATATATTGCAACAAACAATCAATGCATCAATTGGAAAGAAACAACTGACCACGATAATGAATCTAGCGTATCAGATTGAGAAATTCAAAGAAGATTTGGTCGAGAAATTTAACACTCTAGGAAACAATCAAGTACAAGCGGATTCATCATCACGTCAAGGGACTAATGATTCTAGCAATCACGTAGCAACTGGAACTGGTGATGAAACTATTGAGCAAGTCACTCAGAAAGACAACTTAATAGACACGAATGATGAATAAGAACAATAAAACTGTTTGTTTTAATACTGATGTTCCTAGTTTTTACCCTTCCCTTCCTTCTATTGATGTTAAAGGCTCCGTGATCCAACAAGTTATTGACTGGGGGTTTACTGTCGAAGTAATTAATAGCGTATCAGAGATAATGAATGAATGGTATATGGGAAATACCTTAAATGGTGTTCTAGAACTTTGGGAGAAGAAAAAGCGAAAGTCAGCGAGTTTAAAATGTCCCTTAAATATCGTTATATATAATGTCGAAGGTTGGGGGACAAGAGCGCTTGAAACAATGGAAATAATATATAAAAATGATGGTGCGATATGTATCCTGACCGAAGTAGGTGAGCTATGGGATAGCGTTTCAATCCCGCATTATAATATAGTTTATAGGAAAGGAACAAATGATAAAGGTGGAGTCATGATCGCGGTTGGTAAACATCTCAGAGTAACCCGTGTAGACATTGATATTGATAACACAGTGATAGTAGATATAGATGGACTATCCGAACAAATCAGAGTCATTGGGATTTACTGGCCCCAATGTCAACGTCGGAACCTAGATGATCTTTCACCTTACATAACAAGGAATACCATACTGGCAGGAGACTGGAATGCCACAATGCAAGAATGGGGTAGTCCCGCATCCGATGTAAGGGGAAAATGCGTTAAAGAATGGATTGAACGTTTAAATCTTACGTTTATACCTGGAACTAAAAATTCGTCGAAACGTTCGTTGAGACATATTGAGCTTATTTTTACGAATATGTCAGGCATAAAAGCTGAGACGCTAGAGGTAGGAACAAGCGATCACTGGCCGCTAGTTATGACTAGCAAACATATAGGATTTCAGACAAGCGGAGTTTTTCCAGTAGTAAACTGGACCAGCTTGGAAGTAACGTTACAGCTACTACAGAACTTCTGGGCAAGAGAACTTGAAAGACTGGATGTGAATAGTTGGTATATGAGTTATACCAGATTTCTAGCAGCATTAAAAAACAGAGTAACTAAGTGGAAAAAGATAGAAAAATATCGTCCATCCCTACCACCACACATAGTTGGGATGCTAAAAGGAGTTCGACAAGTTAGGAATAGATATTATCGGCAAAGGAAAATGTATGGAGGAATCGGGAACGACGAGGATAGGAAGCTGCTACGCACACTAACTAGGTTGACGAAGGTAGAAATAAGCAAATACAAATCGGAAAATTGGAAAAAATTTCTCTCTTCAATACAAGAATCACACGATCTTAGAGGAAAGGCCTTCTGGTCACATCTAGCTAGAATCTACAAACCAAAAACCTTGCCAATATCAAAACTAGTAGTAGACAACTGCATGTATTCTGATCATCAAGAGATAACTAAAAAGCTGTACGAATATTACAGAGAACAGGCAAAGCCTACAGTTGTAGATAAACAAAATAGACACGAATACGAGATTGAAAATGAATATAAAAGCATTATCAATAACATAACAGCAGACAGTCAGCTCGCAATAGATCCAATCTCACCTGTAGAACTTAAGTGTGTAGTTAAGAAGTTGAAAAATAAAGAATCATCAGGATATGATCAAATATCGAACCGAATGATCAAAATACTTCCGCCGCAATACCTTCACTGTCTCGTAAAGTGTTTTAATGAATGGCTAAGAGACTGCAAGTATCCAGAGTTCTGGAAACTTGCAAAAATTGTGACGTTGAATAAATTAAAAGCAGGAATACCTCAACCGGAACAGACTCGCCCCATCTCCTTACTTCCCACCCATTCTAAGCTTTTCGAAAAAGTAATTCTAAACAAAGTGCGAGTATGGGCGGAATCTAATCATATAGTACCGAAAGAACAATCGGGATTTAGGCCAGGTGGGTTGCTAAGTACGCGTGTCCTCTCCATTTACCAAGAGATAAAGAACTGTCTAGCTGCTAACATGCCAACACTCGCGCTATATTTTGACTTTAAAAAGGCATATGACACTGTTTGGCATGCTGGATTGATAGCGAAGTTAGGGAGATTGGGAATGCCACAAGAGCTGCTGAAGATGACGGCATCATGGCTGAAGGACAGAAAAGGATACATAGTTTTCGGGGAGGAAAAGTCTGAGTCCTTCAACATCGACATAGGCCTCCCTCAAGGGAGTAGCCTTAGTCCTTACCTTTTCATCATATATCATAGTGACATAACCCTTTGCGCAGGAGCACACCCGGTACATGCGTACGCCGACGACCTCTGTATCTTGGTGAAGGCACCCATCGTCAAGAAGCTTGCACCTACGCTGGAATATTTGGGGAGAGAGGGAACAAGGGTGTGTAAGGAAGTTTTAGCATATGCACAGAAATGGAGACAACCACTCAATGTGCAGAAAACAGTAGGGCAGGTGTTCCACTCTCAACCCGTGTGCCCAGTGGTAGTAGTCCACGTAAACGACAAGGTATTGGAAATGGTAAAAAGTTTTAAATACCTTGGGTTTACGTGGACGAGTAAGTTGTCCCTAGAGCCGACCGTGCACAATTGTTTGGAAAAGGCAGACCGGGCTCTAGCAAAGCTAAGATGGTTAACACGAGGTAGGATAATTTCCCAACAAGTGCTGCGCCAGTGCCTTTTCACCTACGTCTTCCCCCACTTGGCGTGGACCTTTCCGATGTACCCCTTTCTTCCCAAAGGTCAGAAGGAAGCGCTGGACAGAAAGTTAAGAGTCGGAATCAGAATAGCCCATCGATGTCCCTACGTAGCCGCTACAGATCTGCATACGTTCACCAAAGAGGCTTCCTTGGAGTTCTATGCAAAAAAATATATTAAGAAGCAACTATTGAAGGTAAATAAATCAGATCTTGGTCAATCCCCCTTTCTAGAGGATATCTTTCAATGGGAAGCTTGGAAGAAAAGGAAGAACGATGGGGTTGGACATTTCTTCAGGTTGAAAAGAGTTACGAAAATGATGCAAAGGCACGAGTCCTTGCTGATTAGGTGGATCTCCTTTGCGACCCCATAAAAACACTACTTAAACTTAAACCCTCTCCTCTAATATCGGTGAGCAATGATATGGAACGGGAGTAAGACAGACACCCCAGAAAATGACTGTTGGCACACGGACACCTCTCCCTTTTCATCTCCTTTTTCTTCTACTCCTTTTTTATTATTATTCCCCCTTTTTTTTCTGTATTTCATCATTTCTGTCCCATTTATCTGTCCTCTTAATGTAAGCACTCCAGAGTGTAACATAATAAACGCTAAAACAAAAAAAAAAAAAAAAATAACAGAATCTACATCATCAGCAATTCCCGATTGAACATATACAATTCCATTCTAGAGAAAATCAAATATTCAATAGATAAATGTATAAAAACAAAATATCTACTTTTTGTAAAACAAACATAACCATTACAATGTTATAAAACGAACGTAACATATTAATAGACCAACAAAATATTATATAAAATAGATTTTTAATCTAAATGATATTTATTGGTGAATATTCTCCAAATAAATGGATATAAGAAAAAAAGAGAAACATAATAATTATCATAGGAGTAATAGATTTGATTAATTGAAGAAATCTTTTTTCAATCAAATTTAATTAATACAAAATGAGAGTATGTTTAGTGTTTCATATTTTATTCATAATAATACAATGTATTTTCTTCTTTCTTTCTTTCTTAGTTATCCATGATATTGTTTGTCATTTGTTTTGATTTTATATCCAAGTTTGAGTTGATTTTTTTTGCAAAATAAATTGAATATAGATAACAAAAATGAAAAACATGTTTCTACTTTATTTTGTTCTCTTTCTCATATATTTTCATTTTATTGTATAGAAAACTCAGACGTATTGGCTGGTACATGTTTTTTAAGCAAATAAATGAGAAAAAAACAAATTTGTCATCATTTCCCTTATCTATAGAAAAAAAGCAGCATATAGTTATTAAAGAGTAGGTGTTCATTATTATTAGAAATACGAATGAATTAATAATATAGGAAAATGTAGCACTATAAATTTTCTTTGAATATTAAAAACAAATCATCTACAGGCGTATCAATACAATATTTTTTTGTTATTGTTACATATATTCAGGTGTAATAATCACGCTTATACATATCCTGTTATCTTAAAAGCTTTTAAGATATTTTAAGAATATGTACATAAGTTTTATTCTTTAATAAATTAAGGATGGATGTCGGCGTGGGTATCTATGTTCTCTTAACTTACACCCTAAATAATACTGAACAAATGACTTGATTAAATAAAAATGCATAGTTTTTATTGTCAAGAGCATATCGAACCTTGTAGACATTGAGAACTCATGTCATAATTCGAAATATTCAACATACCGATTATTTGTTTTTATGGGATATTTATGGCAGATACAGTTGCAAGTTGTTGTGTCATATTGTAGTCGCATATAGGCTGTCCAGGGTGTGGATGTCGATGTGGATGAGTTAGATTGGAAACATTCTCATCCATTCATACTCACTCACCCCCAAGATGGTTTAATACTATACAGTATAAAAGTGAACTTATCCAAGTTCTAATTTTCGTTATAGTCGAAATGATACGTCGTACAATCTTTGATTGTACTAACTCTTACAGGAATCAAATGCATAAAAAACAAACAAATAAATAAATTTTCTTTATTATTAAAAGGCCATTTTGTAACTGATTTGATCAAATGAGAAGAAGGATATTTTCGTTATTCATTAAAGTAATTTTATTTTAGAAAACTAGCTATTCATACCCATCCTATCCACGTACACATGAAAGTGTGAGATAGATGAAGAAAACAAAGAAGATGATGTAATACATCTTCTTTCTAACTATATGCAAGAAGTAAATGAAATTGGAGAGGAAAATAAGAAAAAAAAAGAAGAGATTTGGAGGAACAATATGATGGTTATGTGGAAAATAGGAGAGACAAAAAAATAATATGAGTGTTGTTAGAGTGTTCTTTAACATTCATACGTTAGATATTGAATGAGTTCATAGAAAAAGATCAAAAATGTTAATTTAGCAACAGCAAACCTTGGCACATGATCTTTTAACGGTAACGGTTTTCTTTCTGATGACTTTGCAACATGGTTTGCAGCAGCACACAGTTTTACGTACACAACAGCATGGGCCACAGCAACAATCACAGCAAGGGTCGCAGCAAGAGCAACAACAAGGGTCACAACATGAACTACAACACGAGCCACAACCACATCCACAACCGCATCCGCAACCACAACCACAGCCTGGCATATTAATAGTAATAATTTAGTGAAGAATAAAACTGAAGTAAGATAAGAATTGGTTTGTGAAACTATGAGAAAAGGTGTGTGTGTATATATATACGCAAAAGTAGAGAAACGAAAAAAATTGTTTTCAGGCAACAAAACAATTAACTGCTGCTCTCACATGACAATAACTGAGATACACACGTGATAGAAAAATATATGCGGAGACATAAATAATAATTTGTTACTATTCATGCAATACACCAAACATCACGTACTATTGCATATCATTTCTCACTCATGCAATACAAGAAAAATATGAAATTCACACTTATTACCAATGTCTTTCCTTTGATTTGTTTTGATAGTGTAGAAAACATCTAACTTTAATTGCACTTTGATTTTGTGACCGCAACTCTAAAAGGGTAAAAGTCATTTGATACACTTTGTTGCAATGAAAACAGTGCTAATCAAAAAAACAAACTACATATTTTTGTTGAAAAATATTGATTCTTACGTTCTAGTACACACACATACTGTAATGTCATCAAATTACGTGAATATCATAACACAATGCAACACAAGAGAGAGCAGTGTGAAAAATATATAATGTATGGATACAGTAACAATAAGAACAGTCTTAATTTCATATATGAGTTGTCAATGAATGTATCTTTCGATGATCTTGAGGGTGAGAGTGTGGGTGTGGGTGTGAGTGCCTATCAAGGAAAGATAGACTCATCCACAGCCTCACCCGTCACCCCCTTCTACACTTACAGCGACACCCACCCTCAAGATGGTAATACATTTGACTAGAAGAGGAACGACTAAAGGAAAAGATAGTTTGAACAGACAGAAGAGAAAGACATTTGTGTGTCTTTACAAAAAATTCTCGTTTCACTCTGTAGACATTTGCTTAGAAAAGAAATCAAAAAAGTATTTTTGTATGTATTAATAAAATAAGCATGACATCATGGGTAAAAACCATTACTTTCATTCTGAGTAAGGCATGTAATGATTGTTCTTTGTTGCAATATGAAAAAGGTGTTGCATAGCCTTATCTTTTATTTATTCAGTGTTTGAAGGTGAAAATGATGATATACTGAAGGTTAGTATTATAAAAAGTTAACAAAATGATAAAATTTTTATAAGCAAACTATTTGTCTGAAGGTTCTCATTTAATTGTTAATGGCAACTAACATTGGATATAAATATGAAAATGAAGACTCGATTGATAGTAATTTAAAATGTGCAATATGTAATGAACCATTTATTGATCATGTAGTAACTGAATGTCAACATTTATTTTGTAGTCAATGTTCGAATCTATGGATGAAACCAGATCAATTAACTTGTCCTATATGTCGAAAAACAATATTCCGACATGGTTTAAAACCAATTACAATGATAAGTTTTATTTCAATACTTAATCAAGTTTTTGGTAAATGTATACTATGTAATCAATCGCACATACAACGAGGTAATTTTCAAGATCATATCGATAAAATATGTCCGAATAAGATTACTATTGGTACAGCTAGCACTGATGATTGTCTTTGGATGGGATTCCGAGAAGAATTACAAGCTCATTTAAATACATGTAGGTCATCAAGAAGGCAAATTAAAGAAAGAACTATTAAAAATCAAGAGAACGATATAGAAACAATAAGTACTTGTCAACCAATTTTTAAACAAGGAACTTTTACCGATAATATAACTTTTACGTTTGTGAATCCTGCATTACGACATGTTTCAGATCAAGAAATTACCATGGCAGTCTATGAGTTGATTATCAATGATCAATGCACAAATCTCAATTTATTCGGTCATTATATCTCTCCAGAAAATTTCTCAATTATTGCTTCAGCACTTTCCAACAATACATCATTAAAAATCTTAGAACTTGGTCAATGTAATGTAAATGACTCGGCAGTACAATTTCTCGCTTCAAATATTTCCACGCACAATTATCTTGAATGTCTTGAACTTTATGATAATTGGATTACTGATATTGGTGTTGAATATTTAGTTAATATGTTACAACTCAATCAATTATTATCTCAATTGAAATTAGCATATAATAAAATTAGCAATCAAGGAGTGTCTATGTTGATCAAAGTCATTGTTAATCATAATTCAAAACTGAAATATTTAAATCTTGAAGGAAATAAACTGATAGATAATTCATGCATTTATTCAATCTTCTATTTAATTAAAAATAATCGAGCATTACTAAAACTCAATATGGAAAATTGTAATCTTTCATGGTATATTAAAGTATTAATTATATTTTATCGAAAGATTTTTTCTCTAACAAATCTAGAAATCTTATTATAATTGAATTTTTGTTATGTAATAAAGCAAGATACATGTTGAAGGTGGGTGTAGCTATTCTATTACTCCTCCTCTTACGCGCCCTCATGATGAAGCATAAATATTTGTTATCTCTTTTCTTTTAAATCAAAATGAATGACAAATAATTTTGTATCTTTATTTAATAGATGAAAATATATCGTACATCTTATCTAAAACATAAGTAATCAATATATAATATATTAAAAAATATTTCATTAGTGTTTAATACTATTTTTACTGAAAAATGTGATTTAACATGTGCAAGTGTATAATAAGTTCGTTTTATTCTTCAATAAAAAGTAATTATTTGATTCTGTATGATGACTATAAAACAAGACATTCTTTTGTATTTGGTTTATTGCATCGTTGTTTTATAACTACTTCTACAAAGCTCGCTACTCATTGAATTTGTACTGACATAATAGCAGAATACGAACCATATAAAGCCGTATTTTTGTTTTGTATAATTCAAGGTAAGAAAATACTCTTATCGAGAGCTGTATATCAACAATAATAAAATCTAAATGGTTAGAAATATTTCTCGATAAATACATTTGATGAAAAAAAACAAAAACTGAAAAATAATGAATCATGAAAAGACTTAAAAAGTTTTTTTGTGATAAACTTATTATATCATGAATTTCAAAATGTTTATCTTTTATGTCAATACAAATGTAGGTAGTATTATTTTCGTTAACTATCTATTCTTTACTTCCAAAATAAAATATTTATTTTAAGATATTTATCTCAAAAAAAGTATGCCTTTTGTCTGTAAAACTGGAGGTGTGAAAGAATGAGTTGAAAAACATTGTTTATTACTTTTATTACTAATACTTTATATATAGAGATAAAAATTTGTAAAATTTCATTACAGTAATCCCGTAGAATCAAGAAAATGTCGATAGAACCCGAAAATGAAACAGATGAATATAGAAACGATATATTAATGGAACCTACAAACGAAATTGATCAATCCATAAACAAAATGTCTATAGAACAAGATGACGAAATTCATCATCATCATCAACATACAAATATTCCTTCTAAGAAACCTTATTTCGCTATTCTATTAGCAGCTTTTTCTTCATTAGGTGGATGGTTTTTTGGTTATGATCAAGGTGTTACAGGTGGTATCGTTGTTATGAGTTCATTTAAAAATGACTTTTGTATTGATGTATATGGTAATGCCACTGAATGTAATCTTCCAATATCTGATTTACCATCTGGATATCGACAATTTTTAGTACTTTTTACATTATTATATAATGTTGGATGTTTTCTTGGTGCTGTATTTATATCTTCATTTGTAGCAGAAAGATTTGGACGTCGTGCAATTATTTTTACAGCATCAGTTTTATTTCTAAGTGGTACATCAATGGTTATATTTCCACCTGGAAAATCTAAAGGTATCATGATTTTAATACTTATTGGACGAATTGTTGAAGGAACAGGTGTTGGTTGTTCATCATTTTCTTGTCCACTTTATGCTTCCGAAATTGCTCCAACAAATATTCGTGGAATGCTTTCAGGTTTTATGCAAATGACTGTTGTAACTGGTTTATTTGTTGCTAATATGGTTAATCTTGGATTAAAAGATCATAAATGGGGTTGGCGTTTAGCAAATGGAGTTATTTTAATTGCACCAATTATAATTATGACTGGAATATTTTTTTGTCCTGAAAGTCCTCGTTGGTTATTTAGAAGAAAAGGTCGTGATGCAGCAGAAAAAAGTTTAAAACGTATTCGTAAAAGCGACGATGTTAATGCTGAATTAGATGCTATTGATGATGCTATAAAATTAGAAGGTAATCAAGTTTCACTTAAAGAATTATTTACAACAAAAAAAATGCTTCAACGACTTGGTATTGGTGTTGGAATACATATCTTACAACAAGCAACAGGTATCAATCCTATATTTACATTTGGTGGAATTATTTATGAAAATATTCTTGGAAAAGGTATTATATCATTAATTGTTTTATCTGGTACAAATTTATTAAGTACAATACCTGCATTATTCTTATTTGATAGACTTGGAAGACGTAAACTTCTTATATTTGCTGGTTTAGCTATGTCACTTGCTCATATTGTAGCAGCGACAGTATTTGTAACAGGTTGTACAACATCATCTAACAATGTTGTCACTTGTCAAACAAGTTCTGGTATAACAATGCTTGTTGCAACAGCTATTTTTGTAGCTTTTTTTGCAATTTCATGGGGTCCAATTGCTTGGATTTATGCAGCTGAAATTTTTCCTCTTAATGTTCGAGCAAGAGCTGTTTCGATAACAACAGGAAGTAATTGGTTTATGGGTACAATTATGTCTTATATTTTAGAATTAATAACTCCATTAGGTTATCATGGTGTATTTTATCTTTTCAGTGGTTTAACTTTATTAGCTGTTGTATTTGTATATCTTTTTTGTCCTGAAACGCGTGGAGTTATGTTGGAAGATATCGATGAAGAATTTGCTAATTTTAAATTGAAAAATCGAACAATTGTAAAAATATTACGAAAACCATGTCAGAGAAATGGAAAAAGAACGGCTACAGTCGATGTCATTGGAACAAATGATGACCTACGTTACTAAACCAACGTGTTTTTTCTTTTACAAAAAATCCTAACAATTGCTTAATTTTACTTCTAGAAAACCTTTTTCTTTTTGCTTATATACGTAACTTTAAATAAATAAAAATTCAACTTCGAAATAATCATAGAATACGGGTCGCATTCATTTGGCCGACAGTCACTTCACCATCTTGAAGATGGGTGTGGGTGGGTGTATGTGGATGTTGCCTGGGATGAATATATATTCATACCCACATTAGGGCCCTGCGGGGTTGCCCCAATCCTGTCGGGATCGGGATCGAGACTAGAGGTGTAAGCCGTGCGGCTGAGCCGCCGTCGCCGTCGATGAACTATAAAAAACTAAAGCCACCGCGCCGCCGATGGTATTCGAAATTTTAAAATTTTCGAGCCGCCGCCAGCTGGCAACTTTAGAATGTTACAGCCGCGCCGCCGAACATTAAAAAAAAAATTTTAAAACTGGGCGCCGCCGCCGATGACCCTACCGGCTTACACCTCTAGTCGAGACGGGACAAAATTTTTCGGGACTTAGCTAATTATATCTTATCTAAGTGCAATTTCTTTTTTATTCAAAAATTCAATATAAGCTTTCGTAAAAATAAAACTAAAATACACGTGTACACATGTCATGAAAAACAATGTCCGTAAGATAAATAAATAAGTAAGGTAGAAGAAGCAACAAGTTTTGATCATTCTTTGAGTTCATCTTCACTTGATAGGGTGTTATTATTTCCAGTTCGATGCTTCTTCGATACTGAAGGTATCTGCTATTCATCTTCATGCTCATCGCTCGACTTATATTCATCGATTGACTTTCGTTCCTGTCTTTGATCATATAGATTTGTCCTTATTGATCTTGTCTTCGATCTTTCTCGAATATGCGCTCTCGTTTCGACTTAATCGATTAGTTTGATATAGCATCTGACTGAAAGATCTCAGAATATTATAATATACGCTTCAACGTCAGCTTTCTATCAACAAATCGTAATACTATGAAATGCTATCGAGTTGCATCTTATTCCACATATGCGTTTAAAAGCTATTTCTGGTAGATCTAGAAAAATCGGGATCGGGACGAAAAAATCCCGTCCCGCAGGATCCTAACCCACATCCAAAACATTGGTAATAATTAACTACATAAATTGGTAATGTGTTAATATCAAATAATTTGCAAATTTTAAAATAAGATAAAAAATAAAAACACATGTCATTTTTACCCATAATAGTCCTTTAAACTAATTCATATAAGATTAAAAGTGATTGAATTAATATTTACTCAAGATATAACAATAAAATAATCTATACTCAGAACGAAAAAAAAACAACGTCTCTATTCGATCACAGTAGGTAGTGTAGTACCATACGAAAAAAATACATTATTTTCCACGTGTCATCAAAAACAAGATAAAATATGAGCAAGATTGCTGTTTGTTTTTTAACGCGTACACCTAATAATGAATTAATTCGTTTTGCAAATGAAATTATTGTTCAAACAAAAGAACTAGATGTTTATATAATGATCGATGATAATACTTATCAACCACCATTGTCTGATGCATTGCATTTTATTCAAATTGATGATGAAGAATGTATGAATAATGGTTATAAAAATTCAGTAAAATTTATTTTAGAAAAAGATTGTTTATCTTGGGATAAGGCTTTATTTTATTTTTGTTGTCAAAATGGTAAAATATATGATTTTCTATGGTTAATAGAAGATGATGTTTTTATTCCCAGTGTTGAAGCTTTGATGGAATTAAATAAACAATGTTATGGTAAAAATTATGATTTAATATGTCAAAGAAATCATTATAATCTTGATGGAAGTATGGAACCTCGCACATGGGATTTATGGTTTGATGCAGAAGGAAAATTCCCATTACCGTGGTATCATTCAATGGTATGTGCTGTTGGTTTAAGTCGTTGTCTATTAACTCATATTGATCAATATGTAACAACTCACCATTTCCTACCATTTATTGAGTATATGTTTAATACAATTGCTATGCATGCAGGATTATCTGTTTATTGTCCATTAGAATTATCTACAATTAATTATAGACATGATTGGTTATTCAAAGAAATACAAGAACGACCAATGAATTGGTATCATCCAATGAAAGATTTTGAAAAACAACATCGATTTCGTGAAAGGTAGGAACGATTATTTAATATTTATGCATTGAAATATCAAATATAAAAATAATGAGAAATTTTCGTTTGATTTTCATGATTTTATTTTAGATTAGCAAGTTCATCAACGATGGTCGACGACGATTTTGAACAACAAGAACAAGGACAGTATGAACCGGATTGTTTCTGTTTACAACCACCTAATATATAAAGCATCAATTCAACATTTTTTCGTCTATCGACGAAATAGGGTGTGTGTATGAGTAGAGAAGAGACATGCCCACACCCACACCCTCAAGATATGACGTTCGAAACGCCGTCATTCATTATTATATACAAATTCTTATATTTTTTATTATATTCTGCATGAATGAGTCATTATTGATAAAAAATGAAACATGCCACAATAATCATGACGTCAAGTTGTGCAAACAAGTACATATATCCCACTCAAAACTAAGAGTCATATTTGACAGCCTTCCTTCACTTGCACTACCACGTGCTCTCACTTACAGCAATCTACACCGATGAGATCCCCTATATAATTCACAAGAACTGTAGGTGAATAAGAAAGAAAAAAATATTCGTTTTTGATTCTTTCTGTTCTTTGATTTGCACAGGACTGAATTTTTATCTTCAAATATTTGCAGAGAACAATAAAGTTGAAATGAAGCCTCTTCATATTACTTGTTGTTTTTTATATATTCAAAAAGGGCACATAAATAACAACTTTTTTTCTTCATTTTCTCCATTCTCTTATCAACTATTTAACTACCGTCGCTGCGAGCATTAAATATAAAATCTTTAGAAAGATGTGCGCCTTTCGTAATGGTTTTCATTCTAATGTACGTGCATCGAGCAGTACACATCGTAAATTAGCATTAGTATTTGGTAATCGCTTGTATCAACACAATGCAAGCTTGAGAAATTCAGAGAATGATGCGAATGATATAACTAGAAGCTTGGAATCCATTGGATTTCAAGTTACGAAAGGTTTAAATCTAGCATGTGAAGAGATGGATTCCTATGTGACTAACTTTGTTCGAAATATTCAATCTTCTGATGTGATTCTGTTTTATTTTTCTGGACATGGTACACAATGGGAGGTAAGATAAACTCTTTATACATAATATAACACTATTTGATTTCTTTAGGATCAAAACTACTTGGTGCCTTCCGATGACAATAATTTAAATAGTTCAAATATTAAACGTCATGCTCTTAATGCTCAAGATGTTCTCGATCGAATAACCAAACGTAATCCATACGTTTCTATTTTTATTCTCGATTGCTGTCGTAATTATTATCTTCGTAATCCAGAACTTCTTCGTGGTAATGATTCAAATACAAAAGGTCTCAAACCAATGTATGCTTCAGCAGGTTCACTGATTGCTTTTGCGTGTGCACCAGGTGCAACAGCATCGGATGGCTCGGACAGAAATGGTTTATTTACCAAACATCTATTGCAAAATATCACAAAGCCAAATGAACAAATTCAAGATCTATTAATAGATGTCACCAAAGGTGTTGCAACGGAATCATATAATAAACAGATACCTTGGTATCATAGTTCACTTATGGATAGAAACATTATGCTTTCCAGTAATGGTAATGATAATAGTGAGTTGAATTTTTCTTTGGATTTGCGCGTAGATGAAGACTAGACACATACCAAACGTAATCTTATCTTTTAATTTCAAGTTAAACTTTAGAATATTGAATTAACGTAGATTTCAATTATACTAGAGTGGGAGTGTGGATAGTCTGTTTTCATTCACCTACACCCTCAAGATATTCGTTTCTATGACTAATTGTGTAATAGATGCATCGTCCAACAAATATGAAGCGCCTTCTACGAATCAATCATCAGCGTCCCATTCGCACGGATCACACATCGCACAACCGTACAAACCACAAATGGTCCAACCACACACACCGCATTTTTCCTCACCAGCAAGCAATATGAAAATAAAACATGAGTTTCATTACCAAGCCAGTATGTATTTTATAATAAAACTACTTTTATTAGGATTTAGAAACATGATCTTCATCGAAATATAGTAGAAATAAGTTTTTGTGTATGATAAAAAATCTGTGAAGTACGACTTTCAAAATTAACTTGTTATATGTATTAGACTCGAATCAAATCGAACCTTTTAGTTCCTGTTTTTGTTTTTTAATTATTATCTATTTATAAATAACTTTGTAGGTGGTTTCAATAGTGAGTCTGGTGAATGGCATCAAGAATTCCATGGACAATCACACGGTAAGAGTCTACATTTATTTTTAGTTTTTCATCCGTCTTATTTCTTAATGTTTATTTAGATGGTCGTCATGGTTCTTTAATCAAAAGGGCAGAAAAAGCACTTCATATGGACCTCGACGGAGATGGACGGATTGGATAATAAACTAGTTCAAAAAAAATAATAAATCTCGTGACAAGTCTGTTGAAGACGTACACTAAAATAAACTGTTTCTTTCGAATATCTTCTTGATATACTTTATTTTTCCTCTCTCAAACGATTACTTTAATAATAAAATACAATATAGAGAAAAAGAAAAGAAAATCTAGTAAGTTATTATAACCCTTTGGTTACGGGATTTTTTTTATTAAGAGGAATTTCTTATTTTTCATTCCAAAACAGTCTCGAATAAATTTTATTAGCATATAAAAGTATTCAGAAATGTTTCAGAATATAATAGTTTTCGTGCAATATTTCCTGTTCGATTTCATGAGAATCATTATTTGTAGACGTTGCCATATTCAATGAAAACATTTACGTGATAGAATGTTAAAAGCTGGTCTGTTAAAACGCAAGAGAGAGAATTCATATAAATAGTGATAAGCAGTAATGACGCAATACTGTTAGTAAGATAAGCGAAACATTTAGCAGTTATTTTCATAAAGCCTAAATGACATTAATGTTCATATATGAGTCATTCGTAACCAAAGGGTTAATCAATCAACACCAACTATTAAAACGATTCCAATGTCGAGCATGACAAAATTGAAGTGGTCGCATAATTTTAATTATAAAAGGCCATATTTCGTATGTCATATTAGCCTTATACAAAGTTGCTCTAATTCGACATTCAGCATAATGAGATTGTGAACCGCAAACATGTTTTGGTAAATTTTGTATATATGCTACACGCATATATGGATCTGCTAATGTTCTTGGCATAATAGCAAATAAATCTGAAAGTCCTTGATTATTTTTATCACAAGGAGCTTGAAGATCAGGCCAAGTTTGATTGTATCCTGAAGGAATATCTTGTAAACATTCATAGTATGGACTAATAAGTATTCGATTTTTAGGTAATAAATCAGCTGTAGGTAAATCTTTAGCAAAATATAAATCAGGTCGAGTTCGAACAATAAAATCATATTTTATTCCATCTTGTTTTTCAGCTTGTTCAATATGCTCCAAACAACGTTGCCATTTAGCATATCCAGCATGATCATCTGCAGCTCTTAATCGATCATTTATAGGAATCCATTCCACTTTACGTGGTGAAAGATATTTCAATGCAGCGATGTATCCTTTTGGACCACTATTAGTTATACTGGCTCCATGTACATTTTCAGTTTTATCCATAAGTTGTAGAATAACAAATAGATCACCTGGTAATTGATCTAATGCTTGTCGACGATAAGCTACATATAATTCTTCTTTATAGAGTGTTCGAGGAGCACCTGTCATACAATGAGCAATACGATATTTTGTTATATTATGTAAGGTATTCGTGGGTAATGAATAAAATACAGGTTGATATAATAATACATTTATAATAAAAAGTATAATTATTATGATAAATTGTGTTGCATAATATAATTTTTTTTGTTGAAATTGTACACAAATTTCTTTTAAAAATAATAATGTCATTAACCGATTTGATCTATTCGATAATGAGTTGTTATTAGTTGTTGTATTTATTTTATCCATTTCAGTCAATTTAATAATACGATAAATAAGAATAGATTTCAAACTTATAAGATCTTTACAACTGTTAGAATGTAGAATCTGTCACTTTTTTTCTAATAACAAGAAACAGGAAATAATTCTAGAATAAAAATAAGAAAAAAGGTTAATGATATTTCTTCCAGAAGGAAAAAAAAGAAATAAATTTTAAAATGGAAGTAAAAAATGGGAAAAAAATGATGTAGGAGTAGAAACAGAATAAAAGTAGAACTTCAGTAGAGAGACATCATCTATTATTAAATATATATACATATATATACAAAGCAGAAGAAAAAAAATGTGTTGATTCATTATATAACCATAGAATTTGATATTGAACGAGTAACTCATCAAAAGCTTATAATTAAGATAGTAATAGAATATAATTCTCTGATGTAAAAAGACAATGAAAATCAAGAGAAGTGAAGACATTTTCATCACAAAAATCGTGGATATTCAATAACCAATAACATAATAATAATATAAATATCAAAAATAGAGTAGTGTAGAACTCGTTAACTCGGTCCAACTATTCAACTATTAAATTTAATAGTAAGAGCTTCCAACTATTAATAAGCATCAAAGTGAATTTAGACGTACGATTCAAATTATATTGTTTTTTAATTCATCATTTTTTCTTACATTTAGAATCATCAGATCCTAAACCAAGCACTAAAACAACTGTTATATATGAAGAAAATGATTCTGGTAAAAATAAGGTTCTTTGTTTCGATTTATTCTTATTTGTATATTTGGTTAGAGAAACTGAAGAATTGTACAAAAACAAAAGTAGATGATGAAGAAATTTAAGATTACTCTGAAGATCATTTTGAAGATTACTTATCACAGTTATCTGATGTAAGTTAATTGTAGAATATCTTTTTTTACCTATGTTTTGGGCTATACAGAAATGGAATGAAAATAGAAAGCTGTTGGATACAATTAAAAATTCTTGATAATTGAATGGTCAAAAGCAAGGAATCGTTACTGATGAATAATCAGGTTTTACATTAAATCGGAGATTACAAACATGTATTTTATCAATATGTGAAGATTTAAGACTAACTATTGTAGCATGCAATCGTCCTACTCTAGTAATCTTCATTGATTTCCTTTCGGCATTCGATAGAATCTGATACCCTATGTTAATAACGAATTTGTTAGAACTAAATATGCCATTACCACTTGTGAAATCGATAGATCAACAGCTTCAAGGTAGGACAGTGGCAGTTCATCACGGAGAATATATATCAAGGAAAATAAATATATTTGTAGGAGCACCACAGGGTTCAGTTCTTGCTGCGACGCTATTTAGATTACATATTCATTTTTTACCTAAATACTTCTTTCGTTTTTGTTCTCATTTATTCGCAGATAACTTAGCTATTCTTCTCAAAACAGAATTGAACTCGAAAAACAAGCAGAAATAGCGGTGCAACTACTTTCATCATTCTCTAAAAATTATATTATACTTGTCAATGTTAAAAAGACGAAAGCAATGTTAATACATAGTGCAGTAGCTCCCGAAGAATCAAAAGTGGTCTTTCAAGATGGACGAATAGAATTTGTGTCATGCTTTAAGTTTTCATTCTGTTTAAATGGATTGTGTTTTAGGTAAGGCGGTTATATATAAAAGAAGAGTATCAGATGAAGTTCATGAAGAAGTTGGTCGATTAATACGTGGTTCGTATTGTGGACAAGCTGCTTTATTGTCGAGTGGTGGGAAGCATGCAGCCACCGTATTTGCTAAGGAACGTTTAATATGCATGTCTTTATCTTCTGTTAAGTTTCAGCGTTTGGTGAAATCTGTGGTAGATTTTCTCGGAAGGGCGTGTTATGCTTTATCTATAACATCTATATACCTCACTAATTTCTTTCGTATTTCTTTTGTTCTTGTTGTTATATATGTATTAGTAAATAAAAATATAATCAGTTATATCCTGACGTGACGAAGAACTAACACGCCTATTGAAGTATATATAAAACTAAGGATATAACAGGACTGCTGATGCATATCATTGACTATCTCATCTCATCGTTTAAAAACAGCTTTATTTCTCTATTCCATTACTTACATGGGCTTTAATAAAAAAGTTTACTTAAAAATAATAAAACAATAAAAGGAGAACTTATCAAGATATAAAGATAACTCATCTTATTGTAATAAAATATCTTTTGTTTTTTTTCCGTGTGTGTGTGGGTGTGACTTTGTATATGAGTAAAGAAGGGGCACGTTCATCCACCCACACCCTCAAGATGAAATTATATATATAAAATAAACATAAAATATGCGAAAAAGAAATTTTTTTTTCATTCGGTATTGCTCACTTGTTCTTTAACGAAGAAAAAGTAAATAGAAAAAGAAATACACATGTGCAACATTATTCTGCATGAAGCTTTATGATGTCAACAAAAAATGCTCCATCACTCTCTACATTACCTGTCGAACTTATTTATCGAATACTTGATTATCTTGATATTGAAACAAGTCTTCTATCGTTTCGTTATGTTTCAAAAAAATTTTATTTTATTTCAAATAAATGGAATAGTCACAATTATGATTTAAGTTCAATTTCAAAAAATCATTTTGATTTAATCTGTCGTCAAATTTGTCAAGAAAAAATAATTTCACTTACTCTTTCAGATGAAGATACAACACCAGGTCAAATTCGATTATTTTTTTCTCTCTATCGAATTAGTAATTTTCCTCGACTTCGCTCATTAACACTTCGAAATATCGATTCAAACGATCTTTATGAAATTCTCAAAGATATCTTTAATTGTTCATTAACAACATTCTCATGTCAATCAAGAGGAAAACAAAATAAATCCATAATTCATCTTCTATCAAAATTAATTATTCAATCCAATCTCGAAATATTATCTTTAAATACTCATGCTCACTACATTGAACAAATGTTTAAATCAATTACTCAATTTCATTTGATTGAATTAACAATTGGAATATTAACATTTAAGGAATATCAAACTATTCTTCAATATTGTCCATATTTACGAGTATTTGTCATTGATGATTGTTGGATAAATGATACTGATCAAAATTCTACTATAAAATCTTATCGACAATTGATTTCATTGACATTAAAATCTACGAATCGATCAATAACACAACTTGAATATCTTCTTCTACTAACACCATCATTAACTGAATTAAAATTAATTAATTCTCCATCAACACCAAATTCTTTAATTAATGGATCATATTGGGAAATTTTCATAAAAACTAAACTTTCGTCACTCATTAAATTTCAATTTGTATTTTATCAATTAGTTTTACGAACCTATGAATGTAATGCTGATGTTGAATTATTCATCATTCCATTTCGTACATCATTTTGGATTGAAGAAAAACAATGGTTTGTTAATTGTCAATCAATAAAAAGTTCTCACACGATTCAACTTTATTCAATACCATTTTCGATCAATTCATATGATTATAATTTCGATTTAGGAAATATTCTATTATCAACATCAATTAAAAAACTTAATCATTCAATTATTATGGATCATGTACGTTGTTTATCATTAAATCTAACTGAAATAAAGACAAAACAAGTCTTAAAGAAGGTATGTCATTTAAAATTCATGACTTAATAGAGATCTTTTCTTCTAGAATATCAAACGAGATGATTTTCTATTTTCCAAAGTAACCGAATTGAATATAAGTGTTCATGGTGAATGGCCAATTGATTCTTTTTATTTCATTTCAATATTAGTTGATCTTCTAAAACTTCAGAAATTATCTTTTCGAAGTGATTTTGAACAATCAACAATTGATAATTTAACAATATTAGTAAATCAAGCATTTAATATTCATTCATTAAGTTTATTACCATTCAATATGGATGAACAATATAATACAACTGTGACAAATCTATGTTCTATTGTATCTCTTCATGTTAAACATTTGACTATAAAAATTGAGAAACTCGAGGATATGAAAATTGTTGTAAAAAAATCAAAACATTTATTAAGTATTTCATTCAATTTCCCATCCGATCGAAAAATTAATAGTCATGAAATGATTGATTGGCTTATTAATAATGGACAAAATTTTACTTATTTAGAAAATGAATATTTTCTTCATTTCTGGTTTGGTCTTCAGACTTTCACGTGAATGACAAGTGTAATTATTGGTATTATATTATAAATGATATTCCCATGTTAAATGAGAAAGATTAAGTTCGATAGTAAAATTAGTTTTAGCATAAATATAGTTCTCTGTTGATATACTAATTTATAGAATAAAAATATTATTCTTTTTTATTTTCTCATCTGTTCTTATTCTTATATGACATCTACAAATACTGAAGATTCACTGGCTTATAGCATTAGACCAATAGAACTGTTTTTTCTATTCTATACATAGTCTATCACTGAACAATACAGAATATTTTTATATTGCATTTTCAATTAATTAATTTCTTTTAGACATTTATTTGGTCTATCATAGAAGCATATTATTAACTATACAACGCTTTTATATTTCTTAACAATTTACTCTTTAAAATGCATCTGTTGTATACGAATATTGTATTAAATAAGTTCGTAATTTTTTAGAATTTAAACATGTTTATTTTTTATTAATCTAGTTTTAGAAAATTTTCTACGTGAGTGACGATATTTATCTTCATATTTTAGAATATAAAATCTGTATATTTTTTTACTCAATCTTGTCATACATCAATGTCAATAGCGTATCGTTTCCTTTCTCGATTTGCTTCTGGTTACATCAGACGAACAATTTGCAATACATCTAATACATTCATTCGTCTTATTCCAAATGAAAGTCGTCGATACAAATCATCTGATCTTACCGGTGTAACATTTTCTCCTATTCCTGATGCAGAACTCAAAATTCAGCTCTATTATAAAACACAAGAAATTAAAAAACGTAAAGAAAAATTAAAAGTAATAGCAGAATCCATATGGAATCAAAAATCAAATGTAAATTATGCTCGAATTACTTTCAATGAATGTAAGACAATGTTTGAAGAACAAACAGGTCGTGCACCTTCTTCGTGGGAAGCAAAACAAATTTATAGGTACATAAATTTTGAAGAACTACATGAAAAATTTGACTTTTTTTTTCTAGTGTAACATTGGAAAAATATGCACCATGGCGTCATTTTCAAGAAGAAAAAGAAAGACAACAACATGTAACAGCAATGATAGAAGAAATTTATAGTGATTTACAAAGGAAAATGAAAGAAGAAAAAGATTTAACTTTATCAAAAAGTGATATGACTGTTTTACTTGAAAAGAAACTCGGAGAATTACCTGTATCGACAGATATTCAAGATATGTGGATGCTTAGATTTCGTTTACCTCTTGTTAAATGGATTGAATAAAAATAAATATATTTTGTTTCTGTTAAACATACAATTATTTATATTAAAGAAAAACTTGATTTCCTAATAGAATATTATTCGTTTTTCTTTTATGACGAGATTTCTTGACTTTCATTTATACGTAATTGCCAAACAAATTTTTTTCTCTCATTCGTATTTTATTTTTTTCGAAAAACGTTGTATATTTATTAGTTCAACAGTTTGTTGTTAATTATAGATGGATAACAAATCCAGGTCCTGCTGCTCGAAGTCGTTTTTTACTGATGGTTGAAAGACTACAATCACACACATATAGTTGAGAAAAATCTCGATTTATAACATTGCATGACAGAGAGCGTCTACACTTGCATCTGTTAATAGCTTGTTGCCAGATAAAGTTAGCCTTATAAAATAATAGTTTTTCGATCCAATTGCTTCGCACAATACTCGAACCCCTCGATCAGTTATTTCATTATTATCAAGATAAAGATAGATTATCCAAGGATTTATTCTAATCATTTCAGCAAGATAATCACAACCGGCATCCGTCGTTCCAGTTGAGTTCAAATGGAGAGTTCTAAGACCAATATTTTCATTTGCAAATGCTTTAGCGATAGATTTTACACCTTCATCCATAATTCGATTGTTATCAAGAATCAGGGATTTCAAATATTTACTACCGCTAAATGATTGAGCCAAGGTCGAAGCACCGATAGATGTAATTTCATTATGATCTAGACTGAGTATCATACATTTTTTCTCATAAATACCTAATTTGACAACAATTGTCATGTCTTGATCGTTTAAATGCATTGAATCCAAAGATAATTTACCACATACTTCTGATGACTGAATCATTTTTTCGAGTTTTGGATTTCGATATTGATCTAGTTGAACTGAAATGTTCATTTGTTGAATATGAAATGGTTTGGCTAATCGTGTACTAGGTGGTTCAATTTCGCGTAAATAAATAATCTGAATATCACCAGTTGGTTTGCATGATCCAGTGACTTTGAGAAGTATTCCGGGTAAAAGAAGAATTTCATCATCGTTTTTCAAATGTGAATGTTCTCGAATAAGTTTTCCATTTTTCGTTTCAATTGCAAATATTGTTTGTGCTTTTTCTCGGCCTAAATACATTGGAGATTGAAGAACAGGAAATAAAGATGTTGCAGAACTCAAAGACCACCATGTTAATTCATCTCCTTCTTGATAAAGTTCACTATAATCTGCAGCAATTCCACGCCAAACAGTATGATATTCAGTAGATCTACAATTAATTAAATTCAATATCAACTTATGTTACGAATTAGTGACTTTTTAACTTACGGTAATTTGAAGATTGCCGTAGAGAATAATTTTAAATATTTCGACCATAATTGAAGTTGACTTCTATCAGTTGCACAAAGTGCTTCATTGAGAAGAACATAAAGACTATTTTCTCTTTCATTCCATTCCATTGTATACAAATAAATTGATGCTGATTCATCTTGAGTAAGTCCATGTTTGGGTTCTTTTGAATTTAATTTTGCAACAGTTATGTATGATTTAAGTTCTGTACCAAGAATATTTTCAAGTGATTGACAAGCTTCTTCAAGAGATACAAGTGGTTCTTGTTCATAACCACAAATTGGTTCAAGAATGTCTTTCGATTCTTGATGAATATTGGTTAAAAGACGAGGATTAACTTCAAATGAAAATGACATTCTAATACATATGCACACTTTTTCTTTCCAACATAATTCTATTTTGACTGCTTGTTTTATTTGATGCTATCAGAAGAACAGAAAAAAAGGTATGCAAATAAAAAGGTAAAAAAACATTAAGAGTTGCACGTGGTTTTGATCGATAGAGGTTTAACATACAGAAAGGAGGGGGAAAATGCATTCTAGCGGATTTAGTTGAAAATTTATATAATATCTTATTACAAAAATATATCCATTATATTTCACATATTATTTTTGTAGACAAAATTTTTGAAAGTTTTTTTTTCGATAAAAAAACAATCTGTGTCGACTTCTAATGAGTTAAGAAGAAGAAGAGGCATGATAGATAAAAAAGAAAAAAAAGGTAATATTTTCTTTCTCCTCCTCTTCCTCTTCCTCTTCCTCTCATATTGATTTACCATATATAACGTCATTCAACGTTCGTAATTTCCTTTTAAAATACGAAAATTATGACACAGCAAGAAGTACAATGTATAAAATGTGGCGTGTTCAATGTCCCATCTAATAATCACTCATGCTATTTTTGTTGGTATGATTTTGAAGCAACCGATGATGAACAATTAGAAATACAACATTCTGAATTATTTCGTGAAAAATCTATTAACCTATGGTATAAAAAATTAGGTGCTGGTAATATTACACTTTCTATTTGGTCACCAATGACATTAATGCATATTTTTCATGATTGTTTTCGATGTCAATCAACAACATCAGAAATGACATTAAAACTTGCAGCTGGAATATTTCCTGAAAGCGTGGCTTGGCTTAAACGTCTTATGAAAGGTACTATTCCATCTGTATTAATTACAGATGATGGATATCGAGTCTATAAATTCGGTGCTGGAATTGATCGAACACCTATTTGGTATTATTGCAAAGATCGTTGGTTTTGGTCACCCGATTGGCCTGTTATACAATGGATTCAATGTCCTCTTCTTACCGTGACATTTGAACCATGGATAGGTCAAGTACCACGTGAAGATAATATATTTATTATACTTTTTTTACATAAATATAAACCAAATCCATCATATCCTGATCTAAAACTTGATCTGAATTTCCATCGAAATGAATATTGCTTTTAATTTTTGTTTTTTTTTCTAGAAATAAATTTTAGTATGGCTGATAAATTACTGTCAATTGAAAACGAAAATTTAGAAGATCTAACTGTCGTATGGCTTGATAAAAATGCACAAGATCTTAATACAAAAACACGTCTACGTTGTATAATTAATTTTCTTAAGATTTTCAATAATATTAGTTCCTGTCTTGATTATATTCGTGCAAGACCTAATGAAAATATATTTCTTATTGTATCCGGTCAATTAAGTTCTTTATTGTTTCCATTTATTGAAAATTTATCTCAAATTTTACATGTATATATTTTTTGTCAAAATTCAGAAAAATATTTATTATTAAAATCAAGTGGAGTATTTACTAATCAAGAATTATTATATGATCAACTTTCTAAAGATGCTAATCAGTTTTATGCAACTCATTCAATAACAATTTCATATCCAACAGAAAAAAGTTTACGTGATTTAGCCAAAGAAACAGGCACGTTTTTTTGGTTTCAGTTATTTATTACAGCACTTCTTGATATGCCATCATCTGATAAAGGCAAAGAAGATCTTCTTGAACTAGCTCGAACATTCTATGCTGATAACGATCTTGAACTACGACGAATCAAACATTTTGAACAAACATATAAAGAATCACAAGCGTTAATATGGTATACAAATGATTCATTTTTGTATCGATTATTGAATAAAGCAATTCGAACAGAAAATATTGATCTTCTTTTTGCATGTCGATTTTTCATCACTGATTTATATCGTGAACTTCATTCATTACATAGACCATACATAGAACTAATTCGTTCCTGTGAGATAGATGAACATACAGTGTATGATGGTCAATTGATGATTTCAGACGATTTTACCAAATTAAAAGCAAATATTGGAAAATTAATATCAATTAATTCATTTCTATCAACTAGTATCGATCCTCAAGTTGCTTTAGTCTATGCAGGAAATAAAGGAACATATCCTATAATGGAATCTGTACTTTTTCAAATCACGATTAACGTTAACGAGTCATCAGATTTAACTCAATACCCGTTTGCTGATATCTCAGCATATAGTTCGTTCAAGGACGAACAGGAAGTTCTCTTTTCACTGACAGCAATATTTCGTGTCGAAGATATCAGTAAACGATCGTAAGTTACTTTACTCCGCTGATTATAATTTTTCTTGATTCGAATTCTAGAGATAATGTATGGCTGGTAAAAATGGTATTTCTTGAGAATACACCGGAGATAGAAGAAATGCGTAAGTTAAGTAGTCATTTGAAATCTCATCAAGGTCAAACGAACATGGTTGATCTGGCTGATCTTCTTTACTTAATGGGTAATCACAGTCGTGCAATATCTTTTTGTCAAAAATTCCTCAGTGAAAATCATGACAACTGGTCCCTTGCTATTAGTTGTTACTGCATAATGGGTCAAGCATATGCAAGTCAGCCTGAACTAGCATTGCAAACGTTCGAAAAAGCATTGGAACTTCAGCTACAATACAATTCAACTGATTACTATAGCTGTGCGACAATGTATAATAATATGGGCTTCGCTCATAATCGACTTCAATCCGACAAACAAGTAACAATCAGTTATTATGAAAGAGCTTTGGAAATATGTACATCTATTTCTGATAAAGAGGAAGCTGATTGGTGTTTGATGGCTACTATTTTAAATAATCTGGTGACTTCACATTCAGATGAAGATATTGATTTAGCTTTGAAAAGAGAACACCTTGTTCTTGATATTCGATTGAAGTATTTACCATTATCACATCCATTGGTGGCAACGACACATTCAACACTTGCTCAAATCTATTCTACAAAAGGTGAATATAAAGAAGCATCGATTCATTATGATGAAGCACTCTATATCATGCTCAAGTACTTGCCTAATAACCATCCTTCCATTAGCTCTATACATCATAGTGTAGGTCTGCATTATTTGTTTAAAGGTGATTATGAGATGAATACGGGACATGAAGCGGCGTCAAAAATAAGTTATGAAAAATCACTTAAATTAAGTTGTGATGCACTCGATTATCTGTCATCTGGTGACTCATCTACATCAATCGATTATGATCTATTCTGCTATTGCACTAATACTTGTGGTGTTGTCTACATGCGACTTGCTCGTTTGGATGATGCAATCAAATGTTTCGATAAATTAATCACCACCATCAATGAACACTTATCAGCTAATCATCAACTACATATTGCATTTCTCAGAAATAGAGGTAAAATTTTTACTTTACATGGCGAGAAAAACAAAAGTATGGAATTCTACGAACGTGCAATCAGATTTTGCGATCAGACAGGTTTAGAAAATTCTTTTGAAAAAGCGCAAGTTTACTTGAATATTGCAGAATGGTACGAACTTTTTGAACAAAAAGATTTAGCAGTTCAGTACTATGAATATTCGATGCAACTTGGAACTGAATATATGGGTACAGGTCACCCACTTATATTATGGTGTGAGAAAGGCTTAGAACGGTTGAAATCGATCGTAACAATACCAGCCGAAGAAGCTTCCTGGCTTTGATAAACTGATTTTTTTTATTGTTTTAGACAAAGAACTAGCTTGTTTTTCTGCTTTTTCCATTCATGTGAATAACCGAGATAGGCGTGATAGTTTATATTGTTTTTATAAGTTAAGGTATATGAGATCTTTACGATTATTATTCATAGGTCATATTGTATTAATAATTAATGATCGATCGGTTATATGTTCATTTACTCTCCTCCTATTTATTAACACAATAAAACTATCTTTTCGAGGGTTTGAATGTTGATCTTTATCTTCACTCACACTCATATCACCATCAAGATGGTTGATAGCAGTAGTATTGGATATCGAATCTAATGTTCCCTGCATCTGTAACATATGAACATCGTGTGCATATGAGATCAATTATATAGCTTAGTTTTTTTCCATTCAATTGGTCGTCGGTTATTTCAAATATAGAAGACACGACTTTTTGTAGTTCTTACAATATTACTCCAGGAAATAGTTTATATTGTATATATCGATATAGAAATATTATCGTTGTTAATGGGTGTCGGTGTGCGTGAGGGTGTGGATACAACAACAGTATATAATACCCACATCCACCTACACGCTCAACTTATGTTAACAAATTAACGAATTACTTACGGTAACTTGAAGATTGCTGTAAAGAATAATTTTAAATATTTCGACCATAATTGAAGTTGACTTCTATCAGTTGCACAAAGTGCTTCATTGAGAAGAACATAAAGACTATTTTCTCTTTCATTCCATTCCATTGTATACAAATAAATTGATGCTGATTCGTCCTGAGTAAGCCCATGTTTGGGTTCTTTTGAATTTAATTTTGCAACAGTTATGTATGATTTAAGTTCTGTACCAAGAATATTTTCAAGTGATTGACAAGCTTCTTCAAGAGATACAAGTGGTTCTTGTTCATAACCACAAATTGGTTCAAGAATATCTTTCGATTCTTGATGAATATTGGTTAAAAGACGAGGATTAACTTCAAATGAAAACGACATTCTAATCCATATGCACACTTTTTCTTTCCAACATAATTCTATTTTGGCTGCTTTTTTTATTTGATGCTATCAGAAGAACAAAAAAAAGGTAAAAAAACATTAAAAGCTGCACATGGTTTTGATTAATAGAGATTTAACATACAGAAAGGAGGGAGAAAAATATGTTTTACTAGTTGTAAGTTGATATAATAATGTTTCACATATTATTTTTGCAGACAATATTTTGGAAAATTTTTTTTCAATAAAAGAAAAAAATCTCTGTAGATTTTTAATGAGTTAAGAGGAAGAAGAGGCATGACAAATAAAAATAAAATAAAGGTAATATTTTCTTTCTCTTCCTCTCATATTCATAATTTCCTTTTAAAATACGAAAAGTATGACACAGCAAGAAGTACAATATACAAAATGTGGGGTGTGAGTATTGATATTCTCATCATCTGACACCCACACCCGTCTACTTTAGATTTTGAATATTTATTTAAGTGTTTTATTAGAATAGAAAGATAAAAATATGTAAAGTGTTATAGAGTTTAAGACATTTCTAAAGAGTTAGAGGCAAAACTAGCATGTTTATATATTGTTGTTCTTTTCTTCTTGTTTCATTTTGTCAGAGAATGAAGTTATTTTTATTTTATTTTTTCATTCTGATCATCGGTTGTTGTTTTATGCAAAACATTGAGATTACTAATCCATTCACCGTATTCTTGTAGACATGTTCGGGTGTCTTCATGATTAATCGATGTCTTTTTGTTAAATTTCGGTATGAGAAGTAATTGTTCAGATGTTAATCCTATATCTGGATCTGTTAAAGTTGCCGTAATAACACCGATCATTATGTCACACAAGATTTCAAGTGCAGAAGTTGGATCATCAACATCGCGTTTATTCAGATAATCATTCTTCTGTTGACTTAAATATTCTAATTCTTCCGAAGTAAAATCAACATTATTGATGTTTGATGGTCGAGAAAGAACATCAACAGAGAATAATAACATAGAACAAAATACTACTAAGAACAAATTCATATTTTTTTTTCTATTAGAAAAATGATTATTCAGTTTTAATGTTACTCTTTATATAAATAAGATATATATGATTCATGTATTGACACAAGCTTTCTTCTTTTTATTCAATTATAGTCTTTTAATGATCTAGCTTACGGGTGTGTTAAATTGTAAAGAAATAAAAATAATATCAAAATACAAGACTATTATTCACATTTCTATAGAAGTATCAATAGCTTCTCTTTCGACAATTCAACGCCTTTACTAATCAAAAGAGAAATATCGTGGAATACGAATAAAGCTAAACAAATTCACTATAGATTTATGAATTAGTCGACAGAAAAAAAATGAACTTAGTAAAACGTATATACGCATATCTTCATCGTTTATAGTCAGTTGAATGCGTCTTTTTACGGAAACACGACAATTTATTAAATTGCATGTAGACATAAATGTTCTTATTTAAAAATGAAATGCTTTTAAATCATAATTAGATTAAAATGTACTCGTCCATTTTGTTGTATTTATAAACCCATCAACAGAATCAAAGTCTATCTGAAAATAGAACAAAACTTAGTTTCATAACTTAACAGAAGCGGATGTTTCTTTAGATATGAATCAAAGATTAATCATGTTCAACCTACGCCTTTTGATTGTTAATATTTTATCAAAACAAAATTAAGAAACTTTATCTTATTAAGCGGAAGAACCATAAAGTCAAACTGAATTTTCTAGAATTTTGAACGTATGAATATCAGTATGCTGAAACTTATGATTTGTAGGACAAAATTAAGTTTCAAATTATATTTATATTTTATTTGTCTAAACATAATAATGAAATTTAGGTCCATTTGAAACGAGTTTTAATATTTAAATAATAATACAACGTAAATTGATGTGTTTTTTTTTGACAAGTATTCATGTTAGCTTTAATTGTGTAATGAAATAAAATATATTATAATGAAACCGGATCTCATGACAATTATCTTGTTTTTATATAATACGATAATCATGATATAAACAATATAATTCGAGCGAAAAGAAAATTATCATCATATATAAACCTTAGTATGTTTTACATTTATTTTCATCTACAATAAACAAGAAATTCCTGTACATCTATAATAATGTCAACATCAAATACTAGTTTAACTATTATATCAACGGGTTTACCACTTGATGGTATAGCAATACCTTTGATTGGTCGATTTTGGCTTTTTCTTATTTCAAATGTTTTATCACTTGCCTGTGGCTTTTTTCTTTTTTTTCATCTGGTCTTTGATGCAACTCTTCGTCATGGTCTACATAATCATGTCATCATTGCCGTTCTTGGTCTTTGTCTTTTTCATGAATTAACAGTTATTCCTTGGGAAATACATTTCCTTCGAGTTGGTGTTGTACCTATAAAATCACCAACAATTTGCATGATTTTCAAATTTATTGATACCGTGGTTTATACTTCAATGGCAAAACTTGTAGGATGGGCATCAGTTGAACGACATATTCTTATTTTTCACAATAAATGGATTGCAACAAAGATGCAACGTATTCTCATACATTATATACCATTAATATTGATTATTATGTATGGTATAATACTTTATGGTGTAACTACTCCAATGAATGACTGCGGTAGATCATTCAATTACAATTCAAAGTTATGTGCCTATTATAGTTGTGTGTACGATTCTGCAGGATACTCTTTGTATGAGTTTATGTCTGGTGGAGTACTGTCTTCTATATGCATAGGATTTGGCAGTGCTTTTTTAGTCATTCGTATTGTTATTCAAAAACGTCGCTTACAACAACAGGTACACTGGCGAAGATATCGTAAAATGACAATTCAACTATTGTCTGTCACATCAATTTTCTTTATCATATATTTACCTCCTGTACTTTTGGCTATTAGTCAAAAACTTGGTGTCCCATCTTCGGTAGGTTCTAGTTATACTACATACGCAAGTTTCTTCAGCAATTATGTTATCTTACTTTTTCCATTTACATGTCTCGGTACATTACCTCAATTGCGCACTCGAGTGAAGACAATATTTCGATTTTTTCATCGACAACAACAACATAGAGTTGTCCCTCTAACAGTAACTGTAAAACCAATACGACAATCACGCGTATAAACGAACAGAAAAAAAGACTCCTATTTAAAATTTTGTTGTATTGTTTGTATAATTGTAAAAAATAAATTCATTTTTTAATGAACAAAAGATTTTCTTTGTTATTTTTATCAGATGAATAATATCAACATCTAGTATAATTAGAATTATCTTTAAGGACAAAAATACGTCATTATGATAACTAAACCCCCCTCCATAATAAAAGACCCCCTGGTCTTCTATTGCATTTTGCGGATCAAACTTTTAAAGAGGTCTTCTATTATGGGGTGGTCTTCTAATACGAATTTGTGACCGTAAACATCCAAAAATCAATATCAGATTTTGTGAAGTTTGAGGCAATATCGTTCATCATGATTATATTATTTAATAAATATGAAGTAAAAATCAGAGTGAGAGTTAAAATGTAATTTTGAAAAGTTAAAATGATTACAACCGTAACTATAACTTTCAACCTTGATTATAACATTTAACCGTGGTTAATATAAGTTATTATCACAATTTTGTTAATTAGATAGAATTTCTCTGTCTTTATCCTTAGTGAGTAACTGAACTGAAGCCACTGTTTGACAGATAGTTCTTAATTAAAAATTGAACTTTATTTCAGGAGATACTACGAATGTTTTAGAAGGTAATCATACAATGGTATGAAATATATTGTAAAATATGGCTTCGGTTCATTTACTCACTAATATTAAAGAGATAAAAACTCTACTCAGTTGACAGATTTGAAATAATAACTTACATTAACCACGGTTAAATGTTATAACCACAGTCTAAAGTTATAACCAAAATCCAAGGGGGTAATAGCTGGCACCCAGCACCGAAAAACACCTAACAGGTGCTGAGGTGCTGTACGGGTGCTCAGGTGCTGAAAAGGTGCTGAGGTGTTGAACAGGTGCCGAATAGGTGCTGAGGTGCTGAGCAGGTGCTGAAGTGCTGAGTAGGTGCTGAATAGATGCTGAAGTGCTGAGATATTAATTGATTTTCTGATATAATATATAAAATAAACGACTGTATTGTGACTGATTAAGAGCGCTCTCTATCGGGCTCATTAATATACGTTAATAATAACGAACTTTTTATAAGTACCCAATCAGAAAAATACCCATTTTATAATATTTTCCCGTTAAATTTAACTCTTTTTACACTACTTTCTGATATTAAAAACGAAGTTTCGTTAAATATCGTTTATTTCAGATAATTATTTTAACTAATGTCGTCTTCAACATCTGCTACAGAAATTAATCAAAATGTTTTACCAGATGATATCTTTCATTATAATAATGATCAATTTTATAATTATATATTACAATCGTATGGTGATGATCTAGCTGAATTATTCCGATTTCAAGCCATTCGTAATGGCTCACATATTCTTCAAGCATCATGTGATGCTATTTTGTTAATCTTACAACAAGAATCTGATGAAATTGATAAACTTCGACAATTATGTTGTTTTAAAATTAATAAAGATAAATATGAAATAAAATTAGGTGTTAAACTTGCAATTAATAGTCTAATTGGATTATTAAAGGTGAAGCAAGAAGAACAACAAAAGAAGAAAAAAAAGCACATTTCAACTAAACGTACATCATCCAATATTGATACATTAATATCTATGGATGAAACTCAATCACAAGATGAAATGACTACACCAACAACAATAACCGTTTCACCAGTTACTGATACACAATCAACAATAACCGTTTCACCAGTTACTGATACACAATCAACAATAATCGTTTCACCAGTTACTGATACACAATCAACACAATCAAAATTACCATTAATACAAAATCGTTTCAATGAAATTGATCATGTAATAGATATTGAACAACGGATAAATAAATGGTGGTGCACCTTTAATAATGATAATAATTTATTATTATCTGAAGGTACACATTTTCTCTTGGAAATCAATAAATCAATAAATGATACATATGCGTGCATTTTATCCTGTCAATGCCGTAATCGATTCAAGCTACCATTTATGACAACAGGTTTTTTTAAATTATCAGCGTATTTTCGGCATTTAAAAGAAAAACAATGTTTAACACGATCAAAGGCTGTAAGTATGCCTTGCGTTAAACGTAAAATTTCTATGACTTTTTATTTTATTAGGCAGGTAAAAAAGATAATCGTTTAATTATCAACGAAAATTCTCCTGCAAATCGATCAAATAGTTCTTCAAAACGAACTCGATCACCATCAAAACAAGCAGCATCAAATACAAATGAAAATATCTTAAAAAAGAGTAAATCATTAAATAATAAACATAGTGATCAAGATTAAAAAATAAATCATGGTGTCAATAGTTCTTATGAAAATATATATTGTTTTTTTTACTTCGACATATAAAAACATAGTAGATATTTGTTTTATATTTTATTTATAGTACGCTTTTTTCTCTTCAACTATATGAAATTAATCGTTAAATAAAAATAATATATATCGTTTTTTGTATTTAACAGAAACCTATTTATATTTGTAACTATGTTGATTAAAAATAAAGAATTATTGATTTCATATTGAATAGATCCGTTTATATACTTTCAGAACAATACATTCTTTACGTATACTTAATTTTTCTCTTAATAGCATCTTATTATAAAGATTAATATCTGCATTTCTTCAACAGCAATTATGAATATTTTAAAACTTGATAAATTAACAGATGAGATGATGAATTTAAGTTTTAAAGATTTCTATAATTTTATTGAAATTGCATTAAATAAAGAATTAAGTGAATTATTTCAAGTTCAGTCAATTCGAGAAATGTCATCGTTATCATCAGTAACTGTAAATCAATTAACACATATACTTACTTTGGAGATTACAGATTTAATAGATCTAAAAAAATCACTTGGATACATGACAAGTCATGGAGTTTTTCATCTCCGACTTGGTCATCAACAATTATTAGAGCGTCTTTTGTCATTAGTACAAGCAAAAAATACTTCATCTGTAAACAATCGTGTAGTATCAAATAATTTTATAGAAAATGACATATATGTAAAGTTAACAGAATTATTAAAACATCAAGCATCTAATTTATCTAATGTACATAATTTCTCTATTCTTGTTCCATGGATTATAAATATTTTTCAAAATATGACAACAACAAAAAATAGATATAATTATGATGTACATATTCAGCAATTTGCTTTATTAATATTTATTCTTGGAGGTAGAAACTGCTATGAATTTCTACGTCTCAACTTATCAGGATCATTACCTCATATTTCAAGTATAGAATCATTGATAAGGAATCAAAATATAAAAATAATGGAAGGGAAATTTAGATTTCAACTATTACAAGATTACGTAGAATCTAATAAATGTAATTATGTATTTGTAGCTGAAGATGCTACTAGTTCAATATCTCGTATAGACTATGATGCAACATTGAATTCATTTATTGGCTTTTCTGCACCTTTAGTCAATGGAGTACCACAATCGAATTTTTTCCAGACGGAAAATTTTGAGCAATTAGAATTATGGTTTAATGATATAGATAAAGCTAAATTTATTAATTTATACATGTTAAAATCTTTAACATTATCAGCTCCACCATTCATTTTATCAGCTTACGGATCAAACAATAAAGCAAAAGCAATTGAAATCTTAAGAAGATGGTTATTTATTCATGATCAGTGTTTAATTCAAGGTGTACATGTTATAGGTTTTAGTTCTGATGCTGATGCACGTTATCTTCGAGCAATGAGATTATGTTCACGCTTTTTTGCAACATTACCAAACTTCAATATATTTAAACATAATGATCCATATCATGTGAAAATACCAAAACAATGGTCTTGGTTTTTTATGGAAGAAAAACAAATTCTTTTTTTTATGCAAGATGGCATTCACATTGCCACCAAATTTCGAAATAGGTTGCTTTCTAAAACAGCAAAAATGAAGATTGGATCTTATTCAGTTGATATTCAAGATGTATTTGATTTAATTGAATTAGAAAGTAAAGTTGAACACAATTTAATTAAATGTGATGTTGATCCAAAAGATCGTCAGAACTTCACATCATGCTTAAGAATATCTTCTGAAAATGTTTTAAACTTATTAAAGAAAAATGAAAAAGCTACAGGAACATATGTATACTTATCTTTGTTACGGTTAATTATCATCGGATTTATTGAGAGATCAACAACAATCCAAGAACGATTACTTCATGTATGGACGGTTGTTTTTACTTGTAGGTTTTGGTTTTCATGGATACAGTATTTGGAATTAAAAGATAATCGTAATAGTTCAGCAACACTATCAGATCTTAAAAAAAATACTTTTATAACCAAGCCAACTTTTTGGTGCATCGAAATAAATGCTCATTCTTTACTTTTTGTAATTCTTCTAGTTATTAATAACAAATTACCTATTGATGCACTTAATACGTTTACTTTCAACTCACAGATATGTGAGAATACTTTTCGAATTGCACGTTCATTATCAGGTACATTTTCGTCAAATACAAATTTTAGTGTAAAATCATTTTTAAAAAGATGCGAAAAAATATCAATAATCAATTCAATTAAAAATCGTGGTGGACAAATAGGAGATTATCAGTTTTATTTTCCACAACACCATAAAAATCGTAAAGATACAATTAATTATTCAATAGGACATGTTAATGAATTGAATTTGACTGAAAATGATATAGAAATTATTATCAAAAATGCATTTGAAGCAGCTCAAAAGTATGTTGCAATGGTTAATATGACTCAATTTTTGGAAAAAAAAAATATCTATACATTATCAGGTTTAAATACATTTACAAAAACAATTTTAAATAAATCATTATCAAAGATTATCGACTATACAGTTGATAATAATAGTTCCGATGAAGATTCTGATGAAGAAAATTGTTCTGATGAAAATGATGTTTCGAATGTATTAAATAATGAAGAACAATTATCACCAAATAATACCGATGATGAAGAGGAAGGAAATACATTAGCAACTGATGTTCCTGATACAGCACAAAAAAAGTTCAATGGTTGTCGTATATACGACAAAATCAATCCACAACAATCAAAGAAATATTTTCGTATACGTATGGGTTCATCATATAAATTTATACACAAACAAACGGCTTGTTGGTTACTTACAACAGATAAACAACGATCTTCAAGTGATCGATTACTACGTGTTCAGCAATAAGGAGTAAAATAACATAAGTCCTGTTTGCAATTGTTTACATTTGATTTTTCGTATTTTTGTTGATGCAGCCTCTCGTGTTGTTGTTTTTCATATAATTTTTGATATTTTTCTTCATATAGTTGTTTATGTTATGAAGTATTTTTGATATTCACTTTTATGAAATTTTTATATTTTCATATGGTACTTGTATGAGATGGAAACTTTCTTCGGTATCATTGAGAATAAATAGGCTTTTTATAAATTATTTACATATTACTGAACTTAGTTTCAAGTCAAAACAATGTCGAAATAATATTGTTAAAGTGATATAATATTGAGCAGTATTTTTCTGCAGCAGAAGATGAATTTGTAATAGTATAACTCTAGTTCTAAGCATTACTTCAATTAATATTCATACCACAGCTTTCTAAGCTTCACAGCACCGGCAGGTGCTGAAAAGGTGCTGAGGTGCTCAATAGGTGCCGAGGTGCTGAAAAGGTGCTGAGCAGGTGCTGAGGTGCTGAGCAGGTGTTGAGGTGCTGAGTGCTGGGTGCCAGCCCTTACCCCCTTGCCAAAATCGCTTTTGGACCAAAAAATTGATTATTTATAATTCAAAAGTTGTGACTCAAGTTATAACTCAGCCCTTTTTAACTCCGACTCTGATAAAAATAGAAAAAAACAAAAAATAACTGCAAATATTTTTTGTTCACAAATTGATGCAAATTGAGTTGTTTCAATTTTTTATTGCTCCTTATGTTAAATTGGACGGGTGTATTCACATATGATTTTCTGCATTTTCGTTCTGATTGTCCTCTTATTTTTAATTTTAGTCGATTTGTGTCTATTTTCACGTGAAGAAAACATATTGTAGATGTGCATAAACGAGCTATTACTATATTTTCAATTCTTTTCTATCTTTCATTGCGCAACACACACAATAATATGGAGAATTTAATGAAAAAAAAAATAATAACTTAAAAATTTATTTTTAATTTGAAGACCCGGGTCTTGTATTATGGATTTCACGTTATTTTTGCAAGAGGGTCTTCTATTATGGGAGGGTCTTTTATCACGAGAGGGTCTTTTATTATGGAGGGGGGTTTATCTAGCATAAACAATTTTCTGCAACGATTATTAGCAACTAGGTGGAAGTGAAAGCAGTCATTTGTCAATTATCAGTGTTGTTTTAATGTAATATATATAGACATAATATGATCAAAAGAAAACAAATGATAGCATAAACAAAAGTTGATAGTAATCGTTTTTCGATATTTTGAAAGAATTGAATTAACAAAAGATGAAAACTTCGATAGAATACATAAAAAATGTTGAAGAAACGTTGATTCTGTTAGAAACTACACACACACTGTGATTTTATTATCATTAACAGCAAATACTCACGACTAGGTTTATACTGAATGTTCAAGGGCCGACATAATCTAATTGTTTACAAATTCAAATAAAAGATACCGAAGGAGATGGCAAAACTGATATAGAATGTTGTCTACTAGAAGATCTTTTCGTAAGCTCTATATCTAATTTTGTCTCTATATGGCACAACATGTAATATATTTAAAAATTTATAGTTGTATAAAAACAGAATATATAAGCTAGAAAACTGTTTTCTAGTGCTATTAACGATCTTTTATATTCACGAAAAATATTAGTCGTATGATTGTTTCCATTATGGAGTTTTTGAATTTCGTTTTCATTCGGAATATCAATGCCACACGAATTTACGTAAAAGACTTCTATACTATGGTCGATTATACTAATTCACAACTGTAGTTTTTATATAAATGTATTCCACTAAAGCTATTCATTGTTTATATTCACATGATACTGGAAAAAATAAAATGATATACATAAATCCACTAGGAATATTAGTAAGCAACTGCTATAAACTATACGGAATTTTCGATGATCACTGTCATCATTATCAAGAAAAAAGAATGTATGAAAAATAAGATAGGAAAGACTATCATATATTAGTTGTTTTTGACAGAGAAATCTATTTCATAATGAAAAGAGTTATATTTTCCATGAATTTAATAGATCCTTAAAAGCACTATATATTATCTACGGGTAAAACTGAATATATAAGGAGATCTCTCGATAACTTAAGTCCTTTTCTTAGACATTTCAATTAATTTCTCTTGTACAAAAGTAATATTAACTGTTTTCTTCGATAAGTAACAGCAGCGAATTAATTATTTATTTTTATTCCAAATAGAAGCGACTATAATGCATATGATTCTATGTTATTGACATTTCACCTAATGAATAATATACTGATAGTTTTTGAGGATAGTTATAAAAACAACAGACATATAAATAAAGCGATTAGTTTTGCACAAATTCGAACGATATAGATTTACTTTTATACAGACTCTCTGTCATTATTGTACAAAGGATTTCACACTATTTTATTTTTGAACAAAATATATATGTAGTGTTGGTTTTTGCGTATTGGAGATGTATATATATATCCTCTGTCGATGGCTTGAAGGAACTTTTGAAAGTTAAGATTATTTTCGAACTCAAATTAGACAGCTATTGTGCACAACATTTGTTTTTTATTACACTATATCTTCAATAAGAAGAAAAAATAAAGATAAGAACTATAATTCTTTTATCTTACATCTAAAGTATATAGTCAACGATTGCCAGTGATATCACTACTTTTTTTTATAAAAGGTGAGTAAACTATTATTCATCTATATGAGCAACACTTATCGTGAGTAAGAGTGTAGATGAAATAGAAAACTCACATACTCACAAAGTAACTGAAAATGATTGATCATAATCGAGATTCTCTTTGATAAGCTCACCATCTACTGATTCACTTATTTTAAAAATAAAGATTCTCAACCATCTACAAAATCTATCTAGTATTCAAAAGAAATCGATGTAACAATATACAGTAAATAACCATTTCATTATTTGGAATCTGAACAAGCTTAATACAGTTTTCGACGAGAAATTAGTTATATTAAAACACATCTTCTCTTTTCTTTTATTTTTGTGTCCTTTCATGATGTAGAACTCTGATGAATATTTTGATTTGAAAATAAATAACACAAAACATGTCGGTGAAAATTAAAACTTCGTATTTATTTTGATTCTACAAGCACAGCAAAGTATAATTGAAAAAAATGAAAGATTATAATAAATTTGAAGATAAAAATAAATAAGAATCAAAAGTTTTCCAACTAATAAAAAGTCTTTTTCTTTTTTTCTATAAAGTATTGAATAGAAACATTTCGATTTACTTCATTAGATCTTCATCAAGAAATTAATAATAAATGAATTCATATTTGGAATTTAAAAATATGTGATCGAAACAAAATTCAATACAAAATGAAAGATTTTATAAATCCAAAAATCTTTCAAAATATTATTCTAACAATTCTACATACTTATGAGGTTGTTGATTATGAAATAAATTCGATTAATTATATAATATGATTATAAAATAAAAATAAATTTCATTTAATAAACGATCATCAGTAGTTAAATTCTCATGGATAATTGATAGAAATATTTTCTATTATTATTTTTATATTTATGGATATGTTTATATAGAATATCAAATAATATTTGTTTTAAATAAGATTAATAAAAACTTTTTACAAAATAATTTAACCAGTTCTAATGAGCAGTAATTACATTAAATCATTTTTCAGTAATTTGAATACTTATTTTTTTGCTATGGATCATTTTTATTTGAGAGTAGACTTGTCAACTTGTTTTCTTATTCAATGATACAAATAAATAATACATAAAATGTAATAAAACTATTTTTTTCACGATCTGTAAAATAATGTCGTAGAAAGCCTTGAATTTGTCATTCCTATATATAATAATAATTATATGGAATCCTCATTTAAATGATGAGTACAAGTTAGTTTTCATCTTTATTCGATTAATCTCGTAGCAACATATTTTATTATTTTAGTTTCTCAAATAAGAACATTAACTGAATATAAGAATTATATAAATTAAATAAATAAAAGTCTAATAACAAATCAACTATTCGATTCTGTAATAGAATAAACTTTTGTAAAATTAAAAAAATTAAGAGGTGAAAATTAATTACATATTTATGGTTAACTGGAACGACTAAAAGAAACAAATATTGTATATCAACAAGAATAGTTTGACTTAATTTGGTTATTTAGATGATAACGATAAGATTCTTTTATGCAGTGTGCATTCACAATGATATACATCGTTATTTTCACGGATCAGAATGTGAGATATTTTCAATGGCATCCACAGTCGTAAGTATCACTTGTATCTCTTTTCTAAATGATTTCTAAACGATGCGATCTTCATTGTAAATTAGTAGAAAATAGTAGATTGTTCACGTAGTAATATAAATATGAGTATGAGGATGTAATCATCATATATCGAAATTAAATTCTATCAGTTAGATTTCTATTCAATGCGTTGTTAATGTAATCGATAACAACCAATCATATTATTCGCTTTCTATCGAAGTCAAGAAAGGACTACAATTATTATCGATAATCACACAATAATAAATAAATAAGCACAAATAAAAATCAATCATCTTGTGGTAAATCTTTCTTAGAAATTACACTTTATATTTTTTATATGATAAAGAATTATAAAATTAGTGCATTTGGAATGCTATTTCACAACTTCTTATCAGAATTTTGTTAGGACGAAATCATTTTCGTAATAATATTATACAATAATCAATGACTTGTTTATTATTTCATATCCAATGAAGATTTAATGTAAATCAAATAGGTAAAATATGATAATATCATTGAATAAATAACGCTATTTTATTCCTGGATTCAATTCAATTATTCGCATCAATAATAGAGAGAAAAAATTCGATGATCTGTTTATTGAAACGCACAGTTTCGCTTTACTGCTTCAAATTTTCGTATAAAAAAATTATGTGATGATACGTATTCAAAGTAGACAACAGATGTTCTGATTTAAGCAACAGTAATATAAAATTTATTAATTTCTACAGAGAAAAAGTTAAAAAAAAATGAATAATTTAGTGTCTTTATTATTGAGTTTCGTTGTCATTGAATCACTCAAGCCTAAAAAGAATAAACAAATTATGAAGGTATATTATGAAATAATTTTTCTTTACATTATGTTGAATAATAACATGAATTTCACCATGTGAACCAAGACCTAAATGAGCTGGTAATTTAACCCAAGCATCATATACACCTTGTCCAAAGACATGTTTCTTTAAATTAACTGTTTTTGAACCAATTGAATCTCGACCAACGGCATCATCATCATAAACATGTAAATGTAATTCATCTTGATGTTTACGTAATGGACTAAAATAAAAAAGAATAAAATTAAAATAAAATAATTAAGAAATACTACAAACAATGTAAAAGTTTCATTCCATGCTGGAGTATTCGTATCTTTGGCTGTTGTTGTTCGTTGTTTATAATCTTTATCTACATAAAGTTCAATGTATGAATCATCTTTGCCAACAATATCCTTGTCTTTTAAATTACGACCTTCAACAATTGTTACTTGTAAAGTACCATGTGAGTGGCTCATTATTACGTTACTTTGATGGGTTTTTTTTTGTGCAAAGAGTAGAAATAAAAATGGTTTGTGTAGTTATGAATCGGGTATTATATATAAGCGACATTTTTTTCTCTCGTCAATCAGGTACAAAAGAAAAAAATACACGTTTTTCTTTCCGTTCTTATAGTTTTTTGTATTACCAAGTCAAGGGAAAGTAAACATTACGATAGAAAAATCGAGCAAAAGAAAATAAAATTCTATTAAAAAATAATCTCTAGGTTTTTGTAGGAAGAAAAATTTGTCATTATGACTATGTCAATTGTTTTTGTTTATTCATGAGAAAAAAAATTATTCAGAGGATTGTACTGAATATTAAAATGAATCATATAGACGTAATATAATGATCTGATTCATATACATTTTAAGTAGAAAGTTAAATTCAGGTATTGAAAAGAGAAAAATACAAAAACGATGATTAATGAAAGAAAAAAGACTAATGAATATTGAGTTTGGTATCTATAAACACTAAATTATTGATCTAATCGGATAACGAATTTCTCTTCAACGTGTTGATTCATAATAAAAAATTATGAAAATTTCTTCTTCGTCTATTAATATAAGTATGAACTCATAGGTTTTAAAAGCAAATATTAGAAAAGTTTGTTTTTTTGTTTTTCTATTATTTAGTATGTTTGTTGGTCATTGTTCTTCTATTAAATGCATATAACCTTCATTTAAATCGACTACTATGGTCAAAATTTTGTCTTAGAACGTGGTTTAAAGATTATATACTTGATATAAATGTATCATCTATAATATTGTTTTTCTGTCAAATAGAGCTTGAACTAGTTTTTATCTAAAAACAGGAATATTTTTAATCTAACGATAGAGTTAATGAACTCTGAAAAATCTATGGTAAAGAGGTCACATAAAATGAGTGTAACATGACAGCCAAGAAAATGAATCAATCAAAATACGAGTTCTTACTTTACCACTATCACCACTAAGGATATTCCAGCCGTGTGGTCATCTTGATCTGATGAACTAAATTTTCTGATTTGTGAATAAAAATCTTTTCAGACAACCTCTTTCAAGAATGATTTTCATAGATCAATTTGCCTTAAGAAAATTATACATATAATGTTCAGGTATCCTTAGAAAAGTAGCCTGAACTCTTTTTAAAACATTAATGACTATCAACGACATCTGTCCATAAATATAATATGAACTAGCGTAAACTCCACTTCACATAATCCGATGAAGAGCACTTTCTTAGTATCATTTGATCCCACTATTTTTTTCAGAAGAATCGTAATAAAATTGGTCACTTCATAAAGTGTAATATACTACATTATGAGTTAAAACATATAGATAAGAAAGAAAAACTCTCTCTTTATGTTTTATTTCGAGATAAGTAAATTTATCTTTTGTTAAAATGTAATGTATTAACATTCTTTTACGAAGTAGAAATGAATTTAAATTTATTTTCTCTGCATCATATTCTATTAAAGGGAATTATTGAAAATGGTTATGCACCATCAATTGAAACTCTTTCAATAAATTTTCAACGAACAAAACAAGATATAATACAATGTCTTAAAGATCTTGAAGAATATCATGGCGTTGTATTACATCCTAAAACATCTGAAGTATGGATTATTCATCCATTTTCATTATTACCAACGAATTTTTGGGTTGAAACATCTAAATGTCAATGGTGGGGAAATTGTGCTTGGTGTAGTTTAGGAATTGCTGCAATTTTAAATGAAGATGTAACTATAACAACTACATTAGCTGGAGAATCAAAACAAATTAAAATTTCTATTAAAAATGGACAAATAATTACAGATCAATGTTTATTTATTCATTTTCCAATTCCAATGAAAAATGCTTGGGATAATGTTGTATTTACTTGTAGTGTAATGCAAATATTTTTATCAGAAATTGATATCGATAATTGGTGTAAACGTCATAATTTTCCTAAGGGTGATATACAACCTATTGAAAATATATGGAATTTTGCTCGAATATGGTATGGAAATCATTTACAACAAGATTGGAAAAAATGGACAAATGAACAAGCAAAATTAATATTTGAAAAATTTAATTTAACTCATAATATATGGGATATTCCTCAAACAGATTCACGATTTTAAACTTTATTTATTTAGAATGGTTAAGTTGACTTTGTTCTATTCCTGCTTCTCGGATCGATCAATTTTGTAATTTACATAGCTCTATGTAGATCTCTGTAACGGAATTATGAATATAAGTCGTTTATTAAATAATAAAAGAAAAGTAGAATAGTTCTTAACGCTTCTTTATTGAGCTCAATATTCAGACTGTATTCCATCTTCGATTGACTATACACAAGAAGCAGAACAAGAGAAAGATAAATGTGGTAAAGCAAGGAATGGTTATTCGAAAGGATGTCCATCCATTTTCTTGGCGCAATCTCATCCTATATTCTAGAAATCTAAATAATCTTTTTTTTTATGTAAATATTATTCATTATCAGTGGCGGCGGAGTGTGGAGGCTCAAGAGGCTTAAGCCTCACTTAGTTTTCAGCCCTTGAGGCTCAGCCTCACTTATTTTCGGATTGAATATTATCTTTTATTATTAGAATTTGTTATGTTCGACATCTAACATACCTAGATATATATTCTGACGTATCTATCTTTCAATGCGGTTCATCTATTTTTATATGTTTTTCTTTTCTTTTACTTGTATATTTCCCTTGTCTATGTGGTACTCAGGTATTTTTCCTCTTTGCTTACATGTTTTCTTGTCTGCATGTTCAGTTTTTTCTCATTTCGTCTATATGTTTTATTCCCAAAACGTTTGGGTTTTTCAAGCGCATATACATATACACATATATATATATTATTGCCGTAATATTATTACGGCAATAATATATTAGCTCAGTAGTGATTGGATTGATTGATATCCTCTTCACAGTGTATTTAATGGCTGGAAAACGTCCAAACATTCATCCATTTTTCTTTTTGACACATATACAAAGAAAAGTCTGTGTTCAACTTTCGCATCGAAGAACGAACAGAAAAAGTTATTTTTTTGTACGACCTGATTTGTTTTATTTGCACGATGACCGTCATAGTTTTCATTGAGGTCTAATAAAAAGAAGACTCATATTTTGCTTCATATTTTAATAAAAGTCCACAGTAGAAAAAAATATTGTGAGCCTCACTTAGATTAATGACGCTCCGCCGCCCCTGTTCATTATTTGCAATAGAAATAATATAATCAATATAGTCTTTAGAAAAATGATGATCTTTCGCACCATTAATAATTGTTTGAAGATATTCATTTGATGGAAGAAAATCTTGTTGTATATTTGTTTCATCAATAAATGTCATTGCTTGTATAATACTATGATCACAATCAAGTTCAATATTAACTTCAATTATTTTATAACCAGGTTCAGTTTTTAATAAATAATCTTTATGTTTTTCATTTATAACATAAACAAGTCCATTTACATATGAACCTTTCATTGGTACAATATTAGCTCTTCCATATCCATCGATTTGTTTATGATTAAAACGAAATTGATAATCATTTAATCGACCAATATTCACACTAATAGGATGATCATTACCAATTCTCTCTTCTAATAAACTTTCTTTTAAATTACTAGCATAACCAAAATAATTAAATGTATTCATCTATATTATCTACAAAGTTAATAAAATCATTTCTAACACCTTCCAAAATTTTTATTAATAACTTCGACAAATGTTTCTTATGAATATAACTATTAACTGATAAGATAAGCACGAATACCTCGTGCTTTTTTACCTATTCTTATCTATTTTCTACGAGCTGAATTTAGTTATATAATAAAAGAAGAACATTTATATCGTATACTTCAAGGGTGTAAAGCAAAAACTTAATCTTCTTGTAAATCATTTGTTGTAATATATCAATACAAAAAAAGAAATCTAATAGGGTGTGGGTGTGGATATTCTGTTACTTAACATATTCACATGTACTATACGTTTATTTTAACAAGTGAATGCATTTAAATAAAATATCGTATCAATAAGTATAATCACTTTAATGGTATTAATGCGGAATTTGTAAAGTTTAATACGTCGAAACAGAGAAATTTTTTGTATACAATTTAGTTTCGTTAAAATATCATCTATAGTTGATTTTCTGAATTGATAAAGGTGGAAATAGCTGTACGAATCTGACTATTTAATAAAGAAAACGTCTAGAATGAATATAATAGTCAACTCAAGAAATAAAAAACTTCATTTAAATGATTATTATAACAAGTTATCTTAAAAAGCAATACTATGACTTCGATTACTTTACGAAAACCAAAATCATTGCATTAGTTTCGTTATTTTTTCATCTAAAGCATCATATCTATCTCGTTTTCACAGATAAATGGAAACGGATTTTAACGATATGGAGCTGATTAATTTGAACTACTCATAGATGCTCTTCATAATACATATCGGCGTGTGTTCAAATCGGCTATGAATGGACAGAAGATATGTCTTGTCTTTCTTTTTTAATAAATTTTTAAAGTTTACAGTCCGAGTATAATCCAGCAATAGGTATTCATCTGGCTGTATAAATGACTTTGGTGTAAAATAGTTATATCTATTTTTTGCATCATACTCATAGCGTAACTCTCAGGAAGTTTTTATTATATTCTCGACATGATTCTCATACGATTATATTCCTGTAACTATAGCTATTATCATCAAATGGAAGTATACTCAAGTCAGACAAGCTTTAAAACAACGACGTTTTTATGTACAAAAAGCGCATGTTTTTACGAGATAAAAAATCCTTTTTGAGAAAAAAGCAAGTTTAGGAAATATTTACGCTGTAAAATTCGTTTTTTTTCAATGCTTGTCTAACTGGGTAGAAGTTCATGCGTGAGTTTAAAATAAATCAAAAATAATATTCGTTTCACGATGAGAAATGGATCTTTTTTATTCCCTGGATATTTCTCAGCAGATTGACATGAACGCATTTTTTTACTTCAGAAAGACTTTTTCAACTCTGGAGCCGCCACCTGTGATAAGAAATATACATAGGTGCTGCCGTGTTAGCAGATAAAAAAAGGACATATTTCGAATATTCAAGCCATCGGTTTGCATTTCTAACGATGAGTGAAATAGTGAGTCACAACGAAATATCATTTCTTTACTCATTCATATTGTGATGTAGTGATATTAGTCATTGGAATTATTCTCTAGTGTCGTTCTTTTCCTTCATATACACGTGTTTTTTCTCTTTCTTTTTGATAGGACTATTCCAACGTCATCATATATATACAGTAAAGTGCAAAAAAAATTGCCGTTTAGTCCAAACTTTTTCAAAGGCTGTTTCGTACATTCTTCGAGCAATTTTTCTAAAGTTTTATTTGTAGACCTAAGATACTACTTTTATGAATTTAGTGAGTCTAATATTGATCGAAAACAGCCATGCAGCTTCGCATAGTGTCTATGTAATACAACAAAATAAAAAAGTCTATCAACAATTATTTTTACATTCTATTGTATAATAAACTCGATATCTTTATATCTTATTTATTGTGCATACACCATAACACGTGACACATATTTACATTTCTTTTGCGTTCTCTCATTTTTCTCTTTTTAATTGGGTTTTTTTTCTGCGTATTGAAACGTTTTTTCCCAATATAAATATATGAGTATTGTTAATGAGTATAAATCGATTTTATATTACTGTCAAAATACAAACTTCATTTTCGATACGTTTTCATTTACTGTAAAATTTCCTACGTCGCGTTTTCATCGTTCATTTATTATATATTCTAAAGACGTAGATCAATCATAATCAAAATATAAATTAATTTTGATACCGTTTCAGAATTTCATTCATCAATACTCTTATATTGAAGACACTGATATATGTCGCAAAATAATCAAAGTGATATTTTGAAAAACATTTCAGCTTTGCTTGATGAAATTTTCAATCATGAAAATATTTGTGATCGGAATGAAATTTCTCCTACCCTTATGCAGTTATATACGTAAGTTTTTTTTGACTTTGTTAATTTGTTTTTTATTTGTGATTTATAGAAATATATACGAATATGTCACGATGGCTGCATTTCACAATTCACATTTATCTAATCGATTTGGTGTCAATAAAAGACAAGACGTGATAGGAGAAGGCGTATATCTGCATTTAGAGAATTATCTACGGAAGAAATTCGACGATATATCGAAGGTAAGATTCTTTATCTATTCTTGCATAAAACGGCATTAATAAATATAAGCATGTAGATGAGAATGATTAGACTATCAATTATACTCCTAAGAATAATTGTTTAGCATATTCTCTTTCTCGTAGAGAAGAGTCCAGTAAACTTAAATTGTCTGCTTGTGTGTCCGCAGGGTCAAAAAAACATCGAAGACCGATTTTCCACGGTTTTCAATTGTTTTTCCAGTACATGTGAAGAAAATGCATTTCTACGAGAAAGAGCTAAGCGAGTCCTCAGACGAACGTTACTTGTTAACTTTATTTTGCTAAATGTTCTCTAATTATTCTTATTCAAGGACATTGATAGTGTATCCAGTGTATACATCCTTCGATATTTCAAAGAACTTCAATGCAAATATAAAGAGGTGTTTAGCCTGTTAAACGATGCTTATGAATATCTTTATCAGGTATGGCTTCAACGTCAACTTGACTCCGGAAGACGTGGTGTCTATAAAATTGATGTGGTATGTTATATCTTATTTCTAATATTTTTACAAAAGTTTTTCAACAAATAGTTAGCCCAACGACTTTGGACAGAAATTGTGTTAAAACCACACTTTCAAAAATTAATACAAGTATGTTTGACCTCAATTAATATTAATCGTCAAAGTCGTTTATCATCTCTTGACACAAAATCGATCAAATTTATCTTAGATTTATATTGTAAGGAGGTAATTATGTTTTTCATTAATCTGAAAATATTTTTAGTTGATGAAAATTCAATTGACATGATGGATGATGATATTTATATGGACAGTTTTGAGGAAAAATTTCTTGACACAGCAGAAGATTTTTATTGTCGAAAAAAACTTCCTATTATCGAATCAAACGATGAACTGTTGGAATATTTAAAAACAGTAGGTGTACTTCTATTAAATCGATACAAAATATATTGATGAATTTTAGACAGTACAAAATATTGATTTTGAAATCAATCAAGCGAGAGCGTATCTACCTGAAGAAAAACCAACATTGAGAATATTTACAGACTTATTAAAAAAGAAACCTTTTTCAAATAATATTCTCAATGTTATTGTGGGAAAACTTCAATTACTCGTATCAGATGAGAATAATTATCAAGGTAAATATTATTAAATTGATTTTTTTTATACTTATTAAATTTCTTATACTATTATAGAACTAACTGCGTTATTTGAACCTATTCGTGAATTAATAAAGTTAAAAAATGAATTGCTAAAGTTAATTGAAACTCATATTTATGAAAAAGCAATGAATACAATTGAGTCTATCAGTGACGATTTAATTAATGTAAGTTTACTAGTTTTTATCATCGATCTCATGTCTTATGAACATTATATTTAGAATCCATTGTCATACATTCAAACAATTGTTAATATTCACGGAAAATATCTAAAGCTTATACAGGAAACGTTCGTAGGGGACCAAAGTTTGATTGTTGCTTTCGATAGAGTAAATTCTTTTATTTTCTGAGATTCAATGTAAAACAAATGTATAATATAGGGTTATGCTAAATTTATCAATCAAAAT